TGGTGTGAACTTGATGGTCTTTGGGAGTTTGGTTCCACCAAAGGTAAGGTACCCCGTTAAGCTATCATCTGATGGTAAACAGTGGGAAAAGATTTTCTTATATTTCCTGGCAGTTTGTGCTACAAAGGAAAACTTGCCTCGCGCAAGGCCTATGAGCCCAGCTACACGATTCCCTTTTCGAAATTGGTTTTGTTGGCCGCAGCCAAATAAGTAGCCTGGGAACACGTCTGACCGTGAAATTGTTAACTTTTCTTTGGCCAAAAAGCCTGCTGAAGACGACGAGTCACCGTAAGAGATACCGTACACACATGTCGAGGAAGAACAATCCTGCTGCATACCTACATTTATATTGCAGATTTTAAAAAATTTTAATTCAAAGATTTCAAAATTTTGAATTTGATGAAGTTTGATGATTTACATTTACTTTTACCTTCTGCAGAAATCTGATTGCATGTTGCTGCGCGACAGGAAACGTTGGCATATGACCTTGATTTTGAAGGGTCGAATATTGGTTCGACTTGGTCATGGCAAAACCCTGCGCATGGCTCACACTGGGTCCAAGTGAAGTGACTGCCGGTGTCAAATATGAGAGCATATTTTTTCCCTGGCGTGCCAAAGCTCACGGTGACAAGGTAGTTGCCTGTGCCGACCGAGATTCCTATCTTGGTTGGAAGTGTAACAGCATCCATCTCCTCCATGGAATTCATGTAAAGACTGGAGTGGATTGAATCTACCCTGGACTGGTCTTGACTCAGAATTTCAGCATGAGAGGGAACCTTTGCTCTGTCCTGGCTCGACTGAAAGCACGGGCCATGCTTGTGTACTACTTCTAGTGATGACTTTCTGTTCATAACTGAAAATATATATATATATATATATATAGTTAAACTGGCTAAATCCTGATAGCAAGAGATGTTATGTTAATGCTCTAGCAATTAGCCTTAAGATTTGTTATACCTTTGGTGGATGAGTTGCATACAGTTGATGGCAGCAGGGAACTTATCTGAAAAACATGACTATGACGAAGACCCTCAGTTTCCAGGGTACTCATTTTTTCCTGAAAGGCATAGCTATTTTTGGAAGAGTACAGAAGCAATAAAAAGATGAGAGCAGCCATCGACTTAAACGTCTCTCTCTGTGTAATGTTTCACAATTGGAATTGGGAAACTATTGCCGCTTGGTTACCCTTATATAGAATCAATGTTGGAAACCAAACACTAGTCAAAGTCTTGCCTTATCCTTTGGTCATTCTTCAAGCACCAGGGAGTTTCTTAGTGGAAGCAAAAAAGTGCCTCTTTTAACCCATAGTGAAGATAATCATTATAATTCCATTTCTTCGAAGAAATTAAAGAAGGTGCATCTCCAGCCGCAGACTTCGGCCAAATTGCTCGTGTTTATGTCTTGTGACTATTTTAATGTTTCATATACTCTTTCTGCACTAGCTGATTGTTTATTTCATGTGACTATTTTATAATAAAGCCTTGATTATAAAGTGGAAAAGAAGAGGATAATGAAACTGAAGATTATTTTTTTGCAAGGATTCGATTGGTGGTTGATGTGTATCAGCCACTAAATGGATAGAAAATGATTGGCTTTGTAGAAAACTATCCTTACTTTTTAATGTGGCTTGTGCACTAGGCATCATCCCACTATATAGAAAAATGATATTTATATACTTCTCTCGTCTTTAAATTTTTTATATTATTTTTTTTAATTTTCACGACAATTAAGACAAAGGTTATAATTATAGATGAGATGAACTGCATCGATACTGAAAGATAGCTTTCTCCAATAACAGTTATTCAATTTTACGCCATAAGTATATACCATATGATGAATAGTCTACATTGAGGATTGCTCTTCTGAATCAGATAGACAAACTTGATTACGGGCATCCCCCAGCAGAAAATCCAAGCCTTCGTCCAGCGCCGTCGTGTACCACTTGCAGTGTCTTTTGCTGCGTATTCCCAAATATCGCCACTTCACCGTCATCATCATTTGCAGCAAACGCTAGGCATACCTGCGACACAGTATCAGAGTACATTGTCCCCACCGGGATGATTTTCACCTCAACGTTTCCGCGGAAGAAGATGCTTATCTTTGGTATGGAGACGGATTTATAATTGCTAAAATCATAGCATGTGTCAAGGATTGAAAGTGAGTCAGTCATCGGGTATTGACTCATCCTTTGTCGAAACGCAGACCTCAGAGCTGCATAGGCAGTAGGTGGCAAGCGAGTGATGACCGTCCCGGAGTCGATGATTGCACCAGCAGTGGTGAAAACTGATGCTGAAATCGATAGCCTTCGGCCACCAACGCTGATTCCAGTAATGTCAAGGCCGTAAAAGGATGAATCCTGGAGGCCTGCGGCTCTGGATAATGGGGTGAATTTTACGGATTTCGAGCTGCCCTTACCACTATCTTTTCCGAAAGTGAGGAAACCTGTTAAGCTGGGGGATGATGGCAAGCAGTAGGAGAAAAACTTGTTGTATTTCCTGGCGGTTTGTGAAGGCAAAGATAGATTATCTCGGCCAAGTCCTAGCAAACCGGCTGCGCCAGAGAAAGTACCTTGGTTGTTTTGGCCACAACCGAAAGCAAAGCCGTCGAACACATCTGTTGATGTTAGGGTTAGCCTTTCCTTGGAAAACAATCCAACCGAGGAAGAGGAGTCTCCGTATTGAATGCCATAGACACATGCCGATAATGAGCAATCAAGTGAGTTACCTGCTAACATTTGCTTTCACGTGATAATCAATTTAACAGTAAACTTCAAAATGTGAATCTCTAACTATAGAAATTTGAACTTATTCTCCAATTTTGCTAATCTTGCAAGGACAATTGCCAAGTTTTGCCAGCTTCTGATATATCTCAAGCAATTTACATCCAAATTTGACCTTACCAAATTTCAGATTAATATACCTGTTGCAGATAACAGTGAATTGCAGAGCGCCGAGTCGCATGAAATGTTGGAATACGTCGAGGATTTCGAGGGGTCAAATATCGTTTCCATCTGATCATAGCAATATCCATCGCAAGGCTGACACTGTGTCCAGGTGATGTCGCTTCCTGTATCAAAAATAAGAGAGAGTTGTTTCTTTGGGGAGCCAAGACCCACTGTGACTACGTAATCCCCCGAGCCCACCACGCTACCATCCTTGGCAAGGAGATTGGCGGCATCAGTCTCCTTCATATCGCTGGATCCTGCTGAGTTCTTGGCCAGTCTGGACCGAATGTATCTCACTCGGGCTTGATCCTGGAAGAGGGTGTCCGCGTTCCTGGGAGTTTTTTTCGCTTTGTCTTGATGGAGCTGAGAGCAAGGTCCATGCTTGTGGACAACTTGTAACGATGATTTCTTTTTGTGGAGAGCTGAAACTGAGTTAAATACACATAAATTAAGATTAAGAAACAATCAAACAAATTGAAAAATCATCTTGTTTGATTCGATATTTGATTTAACTTTCAATTAGATCATATTAAAAATCTTTTACTACAAAATCAGATTACTTAATTTGAACTAACATAGCTAGTCAATTCATCACCAGCTATGATTTTATTAATAAACCTTGGGTAGACGAGTTGCAGACAGCTGATGGCAGTAGAGAGTTAACGTGAAGAACATGATGAGTATGCTGAAGATCCTGGCTGCGGTACTCCATGTTACTCTTTGCTCTTCGGCAGGCATAACTCAGAAGCAGGAGAGAAAAGAGAAGAGCAGACAGGAGGAATGCAAACGAGTTTGGGAAAATCTTGGCTGTGGCCATTGATGAAATTTCTTTCTGATGTTTCATATATACTTGGAATTAAACATTGCTTGGTCTCCTTTATATAGAGTCTTACACAGTTATTCCTAATACATTTTTGCCTTTTTTGGGTACGTCCTAGTACATTCTTGTGCTTGTTCTTACAAAATTTCCGAACCAGACTGATTTGTATTTTGTTCTTTGGGTCATGCTCAAATTTCCAACACAAAGAACTAATATGACTGGAAGCAAGATAGGTTGCACATAGGATTATTGTCAAAGATAATCATGATTAAGATCCATTAATCAGTGGTTGAAATATTTTTAAAAGAATTTTAGTTCCGTGACCTACTTTATTTAGTAGATGAATTTGGAAACGTGAAATCCGAGTACATTAAAATATAATAAAAATATTGACTTTTTATTTGAATTGGAAATATAACGAATCGATTAATGCATTTTTTTTTAATTCAAGGAGGAGCTCGACCAAAACCCAAGTATAAACCTGGGTATTTAATTATATAATGAGTGGTGCACTTGCCAATTTGGTTTTGGAGGAGGAGCTCCCACCAAGTAAACAAACGTCAACCCAACACAAACACACTAAAACCTGTTTGGACTGATGGCTTCCAATGAGAGGACTGTACTCCGATGAATGCCGATTGGATATCTTTCAGATCTGGGCCTTGGACAAATCATAGCCTATGTAAGTGTGTTGAAAGAATTCTAAAAAGAAACAGCGTGGGCTTATCTTATTTTATCAAAAAGCAGGTAGATTTCATATCGGAGATGATCACTTTCACATTATAAAGAAATAATTGTTTAATTCATACGGAAATTTACTATAAGACTTATTTGGTTTTGACCTAAGGATTGAAAGAAGGGAGTAATTAAGGTAATGGGAGTGAAATCATCCCAGATTAAATTCTAAAATTTTACAGAATCAGGATGATATTCAAAATAGATATTCTGTCTATCTTATATAATGGTGTTTGATTTTAATTTTATATAAAATTTTAAAATTTTTTGAGTTAAATTTGACTTTTGTTGTTATTCCAAAAAAAAAAAATCTGACTTTTATCGATTATAAATTTTCTTTCCTATATTTACCTTAACTTATATTATGATAATCAAAACTTATTTACTATTTTGAGGAACCTTGGGCTTGTTCCCTGCTGGTTAAAGAGGCAGCAGTCCAGCAGGGTTAGGGCTCTAACCCAAAAATCCTGATAAAATTCAGAACTGTTTGTCCCTTAAAACTTGCTCATAATTTTGTTTTTTTGTTCCATTTAAGAAAAGGTATCGTAATTATATATGATTTCAAGGTTTGAACATTGCCTTAGAAATCCAAGCCTAAGCTTATTACCGTACATGATGAGTTGCAGTAAACACTTTGATTTGTTACTTCCCCTGAATTTGGATACATAGTTCTTGAGCTTCACTATTTTTTATCAGTTATTTCAATCTTAAAGCCATTCTTGCTATCATATGAATTATGATTCGACAGCTAACTCGAGGATTTTTCTTCTCAAATTAGCTCACAAAAAACTTAGGAACAGGCCCCTGTGCCAAACCCAATCCTCCCTCCAGCGCCATCGTAAACCACTTGCAATGTCTTCTGCTGTGTATTCCCGACGATCCCAATATCAGTGTCATCACTGTTTCCGGCGAACCCCAGGCACACCTGGGAGATGCTGTTAACGTACAGAATTCCCTTGGCGTCGATTGGGACCTCAACACCCCCGCTGAAGAAGAAGCTTATCTTAGGAATGGAGACTGAGGAATATTTGCTGAAGTCATAGCATGTGTCCAGGATTGAAAGTGGTTGTGCCCTTGGGTATTGGGTCATCTTCTGTCGGAATGAAGAACTCAGTGCCGCGTAGGCAGTCGGTGGCAACCGCGTGATGACGGTTCCGGAGTCAATGATGGTGCCGGCAGTGGTGAAAAGGGATGCTGAGATCGATAGTTTTTGGCCGCCGACGCTTATTCCAGTGACGTCGATGCCGTAAAAGGATTGCCCTTGGGAGACTGTGGACAATGTGGTGAACTTCACGGATTTTGAGAGGCCACCACCGTCGCCAAAAGCGAGGAAACCATCGGAGCTGGCGGATGACGGCAAGCAGTAGGAGAAGAATTTCTTGTATTTTGAGGCGGTTTGTGATGGCAAAGACAATTGATCTCGGCCAAGTCCTAGCAAACCGGCTGCGCCAACAAAAAGACCTTGGTTGTTCTGGCCGCAACCGAATAGAAAGTTATCGAACTTATCTGTTGGTGTCAAGGTGAGCTTCTCTTTAGCAAAGAATCCAACTGAGAAAGACGAGTCCCCATATTGGATGCCATAGACACAAGCTGATGATGCGCAGCCAGGTGAGTTACCTGAAAACAAAGTATTCGTTCAGTCAAGGTAATTTAGTGATTCGACCGGTTCGGACAATCTGTGACCAAAGTAGATCAATTACCTGTGGCAGAAGTCAGTGAACTGCACGCTGTCGAGGTGCATGAAATGTTGGAATATGTCGAGGACAGTGATGGTGCAAAAATTGGGTCCCGTTGTTTATAACAAGATTTTGCACAAGGCTGGCATTGTGTCCATGTGATGTCACTTCCAGTATCAAATATGAGAGATAAATCTTTCTTTGGGGTGCCAAGACCCACTGTGACTATGTAATTGCCCGAGCCCACCACACTACCATCCTTGGCAGGGAGCTTGGCGGCATCTGTCTCGTCCACATCGCTGGAACCCGGCTTCCTGCCAAGTCTCGAGTGAATAGACTTGACTCGGGCTTCGTCCCGGAGGAGCACCTCGGCGTGGGTGGGAATACTGGCTTTATCTTGATGGAGCTGAGAGCATGGGCCATGCTTGTGGACAACTTGTAAAGATGACTTTTTGTCCAAAGCTGAAAATATTGAATTCCAATACGGTAAAGTCTTCGAAAAATTAACTACTACTAAAACAGGAAGAAAAGGGTTAAGTTTCAGTGGGTGACCCCCAGACACGCAGTGGGTCAAGAAGCATATTCCTTGATGGGAATGAATTTTAATCAAATTTAATGATGAAAAAGACTTTCCATTAATATTCGTTACACATCCTTGTTGATTCATTGATTATTTAAAAAATGCAAGTGACTCCCAAATAATGCAATAAGCCAAAGAGTGAATCAAGATTATTTCTTTTTGTACAAGGGATTCTTATATAAATTTGTTTCTTTTATATTCATGAAAACTTTCAATTATTAAAAAAAAAGAAAAAGAAACCCAATATTTCTCAAATTTGCGGCTGCCAAACACTCATATACAATTTGATTCATTGATACATTAACTCTCTATTTAAATAACAGAAATCAAATCTCTTTCCCTCACTTATATAAAAAAAATTTAAAAAGCACTAAAGAAATGGTAAAAAATACCAAACTTTTAGTTCCAAATGTTTTTTTAATGCCATTACTATACTGTCTATTTTTGAAATCATGGACAAGAGGGGAGGCCAACCCCCCTCAAAAGTTCTATCTTTCAATCATTAAACCGCCAACCAGACATGACCTTAGCCATTGTCCTGCCACAAGCTACGGGTGGTCAATATATATTCTTTTGATAGTGTTTTATGAGCAAACTTTGCTACAATAGTTTATGGACGTCGGAAAAGACAAAGTTTTGAGGGTAACTTTTTAGTATCAATGAAGTTATAATTACAAGAATTTTAATTATGATCAAATAATTTTTATAAATATCTTATATTACATCAAATTAAATCTACATACACTGAAATTTGAACTTAAAATCTTAAAAAAAGAAAAATCTTTTTTTACTATTAAGCAAGGCATCATTATTAGGCCGAGAATTTTGGGTCAACAGATTGTCTAGGTAAACTCTTAAATTCTCAAATATATATGTGCTTATTCCTAGTCAGTCAACGTTGGTGATTAATCAGTATATTTTCTTCTCGAGATTACTTAAATAACCTTCAACAGTTGCGTATTGTATGGGATTGGGAGGAAGAAAAGGAAAGCTAGCTAACTTGCTACTGTGTTTCTCACAACTGGCAAATGTTGTCTGCTATGAGAGAGTTCAGACCGGCAGCACACATGATGACATGAGTTTAGTCATAAGTTTAACCAAAAATGCTAATAACATGAATCCCAACACAGATAACATAGGCAATAATAGAATAATAATTTAAAATATAATAGTAAGAAAACCAACAAGCCTGGTTTGCTGTTGTGTGCGTGTGTGTGTGAAAGAGAGAGAGAGAGAGAGGGGAAGGGAGGAAATTAACCTTTGGTAGAAGGGCTGCAAACAGAGGAGGGTAGAAGAGAGCTGACATGGACGGTATGGCTATGCTGAAGTTGGTGGCTGTCTGCCGGAGCTTGTCTTCGTCCCAAGACATACCCCTCCTTAAGGGATAGAAGGAGAAGAAGAAGAAGAAGAAGATTAGAAGAGAGGGAGGTGGAGGAAATGGTAATGGCGCCCATGCTCCTAACTCAATTTCACTTGATAACTATTTTTTCTCAGCTTCCAAGCACTCCCCATTATATAACACGCTTACCCTATGTAAGGTATGAGAGTAAAGACACGATGGATCACCAATTCTCACACGGTACCCTCTAATGGTTTGGCAATACACCACCAATAGTCAATCAACACGTTGCCCACCAATTGATTTTTTTAATGTTATATATACGAATACAAGTTAAAAAAAATTTGCGGTACATGGAGTTAAAAGTTTGTTCGAGTATTATCGTTCTTGTCACTTGTAAGTTTTAACAAAAGAAACCATAGATATCCTCAGACTTCCAAGTTATAACAAAGCAACAACATGCTTATTCCCCACTTGAGCTTAAAGCCGTGTACTGTTCAGGATTGGTATCTTTGCTTCCAATCTGTGTTACATCAAATCAGCAAACTCCTTCACGGCAGCAGTATGAACCCTGGAATTATAATCCATAGGCAGGCTTATAGTATATATGTAAGGTCTGCGTGATGCTTACAAGAAAATTGGGTCCCATGTGCTGCAAATTAAAAGCCATTAAAGATTCTTGGAAATGAATTGTGACAAGACAAAAGTTTTTTGCCATTGCCATAGTTTGGAAGCAAAGTATTGTAATTTGTTGTGTTCTTTTTTTGGACATACCCTGATGGTGTTTCGTGTTTGTAATGGGAAAACAAAGAAATTTCCTTTCCAAATAATAGCTCTCTGCTTTGGCTAGGAACCCAAAATTCAATTACCTTTATTAGCACTCCTTTTAACTCTTTATTTTTTGTCGTGTTACATGAATAATAATAGATTCTAATTAATGTATCGATTTCAAAATAAAAAAATAAAAAGAAATCGGTCGTATTTTGATTTTTTATTTTTTTGTATTGTGAATTTCTTAATGAAGCAAATTGGAAAGAGCCCAAGCTTTAGGTCATGGTACTTGTTCTAAAAAAATTTCAAGCAAACAGCTTGTTTATACTTTATAGGACCATGATCAAGCTCCGAAGTCACTCATTTTGCTATATTCTTTTCTTCATCTGTCTTTTAGTAATTGTATTTTTTTTTATTTCAATGCTTGAGTTACTAAAATTACTTAAAATTCAATCTCGACTCCTTACCTTTTTAAGGCTTTAATCTTGATCAATGAGTTAACAACACTGTGGAATTCGAGAAGGGTTTATATTCGATGAAACCTGAAATTTTAAGTAATTACGATAAAAATAATTGAATAGAAATTGAAACAGGGTTGATTTTGATAGCTCATGGTTCTACATTAACCCTATATCTAATGCATCTCCTTTTATATCAAATCCGAATCTCATACTTACTTTAAGGACTTCCACAAATGAATCTCATATATCTACATTGATTGTAATTGTAATGATTCTTCATTAACAAAAAAAAAAAAATCTCTTATAATGGAAGTTTCGACATAATTGCATGATGGCTGCCAATATTTATAATTGATATCTTACATTACTCGACCCGATCAAGTAAGAATCATTGATTGAATATCTCTTTTAGTGGTAGTTTTGATATAATTGCCACTCGACCCGAACCAGTAAGAATCCTTGGTTTAGTATCTCTTTTAGAGGAAGTTTTGATATAGTTGCCTGCTGGGTGCCAATGGAATTCCAAGCACTAATGCTAAAATGGGCAATAGCCAAACCAAAACATGTACCTAACAAATAATTGAGGAGTCCACGTAAGATCTCAACGAAACCTTGAAATAATTGTCAGTGACAGTGCTACTTAACCTGTCCAAAGATTATAGTTTATCATAAGAAAGTATCTTTTGCTGCACTCAATAGATTAGACTGATACCCTTTTTTATTCATTGGAAAAAAGAAGAAGGGATAAATACCAAATCTAAGAAATTTCCTATGTCCTCAGGTTTTTCCTGAAGAGATCGATGAGCATAAATTGTTGGATAAAGATATCCTAGCCATAGTTGTTACAGATGATATTTCTGTCATGACAAGAATTAGCTCCATTCTTTTTGGGAGGGGGAGGGCTATAGAGAAGAACAAAATTTTTTTTGTCTTGATTGATACTTGTTTGATGTTTCTTTTCATAATTTTGTTTTACGTGTTTAATAAATTTTTTATACTAACATTATTTTTGATATTAAAAAGTTAAATTTTCGATCGAAATTCATAATGTGAAATTAAGAAAAGAACATCAAGTGAGATATTAAAGGGATGTTGAAAGCTGGAATCTTTCTGTTGGAAGTGAGAGATTGATGGGTTAACGACTTATCATCATACACAAATTTCCAACTTTTCATATTATTTTTGTTTTTCTGATTGGGTCCATTTTCCTTTTTGTGCAGACCCCATTTTTCTGTTTTTTAATATCACACTTGATTAAGTAACAAGAAAATGGGAAAACAAAAGGGAGTTAGGTGTGGGTTCAATTCATCTGCAGTTTTCTGCTATGCAAGCTCTTCAATAACTACCAATTACACTTGCATTTTAGACAATTTAACTTCCATGGATTGGAACAAAGAAAAGAAAGTGAACAGAGATGTTCATGCTCTGATTTGGCAATGGCTTTTTCCTTTTTGGCCATGATTTGGCATTGGAAAAAAACTGAAGGAGTTTAGTGCAGGATATCTACCTCCAATCCTCCATATACTCTGTGCATTCTAACTATAAAAAATAGGCATAAAATTATCTCTGAGTATGCCTTGAAAGGTAGGGTAGGAGTAGGAGTAGGAATAGGAGTATACAAAAATCAGCACTCAAGTCTCAGTGGGGATTGCATGAAAGTAGGTGATTGGCTGCTAAGAAAAAGAAGCATACATTTTTCTCGTCACTTTCCAATATTAAATGAGACCATTTTTCTAGGTGGTAAGGCACATCCCACCATGGGGTGTTCTGGGCATTAAAATTCCTTTGTCCTTGAAAATCCATCACAGAATCCTCAAAGTCCACATCCTTTTAAAATATTTCCTCAAGTTCACACAGCAAGGTTGCTCTTTCTACTTAGCCACTTACATTTCCCATTGGAAAATACCGTAGTGTTTTGTCTTTTCTACTTGCAGTGAAACCAACGGCAGAATCCATTCATACTAGATATGCAATGCATTGAAGATTTTGTTGCCCATCATTGTCATTAACAATTGAGAAAATTCCATGCCAGAAACATGCCACCACTCTCCAGGAAGGAAGTGGGTGCCAGGAAGCCAAAGCCAATAGGCATGTAGGAGTGTCGTCATGTACTTGTTGCTTGTTAAATTACTAAGATATTTACCTTAAAAATTTTCTCAATTTAGGAAGTGCATATGATATGAAAGTGCATATGGCCAGTGAGTGAGATATTGTCTCCATAAAAAATTATATCTAAATTCTTGCTATATTAAAATTTGACACCCTAATCTTATCCAAGTAAATTTAATTTAAAAATTAATTAAAATTGAAATTAAAACAACAAGGCTAAACTAATGAATTAATGGTAGTAATTGCTAAAAGATAAGTGAAATAAAGCTTAGGCTTGTGAAATTACTCTACTTTTCATTTGGATTTAATTCTCCTTCTTATACTTATATCAATGAGTTGGTTGTTAGTAGAATTCAAATTTATTTACAATTCTCTATCCATATATTGTGAACATACCTATCATAATTAATTTTTCAAATGTCATGTAAATTAGTTAAGATAAATTCATTAAGCTTAATGCTCTAAATTTGGCTACACAAATATTTCTATCCTAAATATTAATTAAATCACCTAAACTCTAAGTGAACCCTTAGTCTATTCTAAATTTCTTTTGTCAAATTACATTTAGAGACACAATTCAATCTAATTGTTGATGATACAATCTTAAGAAAATATATTTAACTTCGCATATTTAATACAAAATCTAATATTTCCAAAAAAATATTCATCTCTGCAATAGAAGGTTAAGAGAAAGAACTGGTGAGAGAAAATGAGCTAGTGCAAATGATTAAAGCCCCAAAATCCTAAAAAAAAATGAGCTAAGATTGTGACTGTGCAACAAGAACTTTAAGAAAAGATGGAAAGCATAGGAATTCAGCAAAATAATCAGATCATGAACTACTGGACATAAAAAAGTATACAATGTCCCTAATCACAAACTATGAAAGGTTAAAAGTTTATATTTGAATCATGTTTTTGGCCATACGGCGCCTAAGCAAAGGCAATGATGTAGTCATTCTTCTCAATCTTCAAGACTTCAATTGGTGGTCCTTTTCGTGATGTGGAATAGCTCAAAGCCTTTGTATTTATTTGCCTTCTTTTCCCCAGTACTGCAACCACTTTCAGTAATAATTTGCCGTTGCTTTGCCAGTACATTGACCATAACTAAGCTGAAACTAAGGATCTTTTCCCTTAATTCTTCCTTAATTAGTGGGGATCTTAATGACACTGGCTAATGAAATACATGAATGCAGCATCTCAAAACAATTTAACTTATAAAAACATGGGCCTTCCCAAAGGAATATAAGAACTCACCCCAGCTGATTGGTCTTCACACCTAGTTCAATAACAAAAAGAGAAAGAATGGGATCATTCTTCAGTTGAAGAACAAAGAATCACATGAAAACAGGCCAAGATACTCATGCAACACCACAAGTTCCTTCTATTTCAGATTCATCAGCACTTCCTCATCACCTTCCTGGTTGTCATATTAAGTACTTTATCGCAGCACTTTGAGCACATGAAGCTGAACTCTAGGATGGCCCCAATGGAAAAATACTAATGAGTATCTAATGAGCAGGACACATTGAACTAGAAGAACTGCGTGGATAATGGCAACCATAAGTCACCAAATTTTCTGGCCAGGGACAGCTGTAACTTATAGCCAATATAATTTGAGTTAAAGATGAATAAGCAACAGGTTCCTTTTTTCTTGGGCATCCTTCAGAAATTCCCTGCACTCAGCAGCTTTACATCACAGTATCCATATGTCTCATCAAAATCAGATGTCAAAGCATCTAGACCTGTATCAGCATCTAACCATGTGATTTCCTCCATCAATCCCTCTAACATTTGATATATCTCTCTACAATGAGGATGCGATTGATCTTCAGCATTGAAAGCATGCACCTGATTCTTAATCTCTATCCAACTCCAACCAGGAACCTTTTTAACTCCCCTCTCCCGCATCAACCTCGTTACACTAGCTTTTTCACTCCATCTCCTCAGATGTCCATACATGTTAGAGAGTATAACGTAAGTGCAGTGCTCTTCAGGCTCTAGGTCTAGCAGATGGCTTGCTACCTGGGCAGCTAATTCAATGTCACCACAAACTCTACAGGCGCCCAACAAAGTCTTCCACACCATTGCATCAGGTTTAAATGGCATTGATTCAATTAAGGGTTTTGCCTCATCTAATCGCCCAGCCCGCCCAAATAGATCTACTGCACAAGCATAATGCTCCATACGTGGTGGAATTCCATAATCAGATTCCATGGATTTCAGAAAATTCAAGCCTTCTTCTACAAGACCAATATGACTGCATGCAGTTAGAACTGCAACAAATGTTATATGATCAAGCCTCACCTTTGTGTCTCTCATCAGAAAGAATAGGTCAAGGGCAACATTGCCCTGCCCATTTTGTGCATACCCAAAAATTATTGAATTCCAAGCAATTGAGCTGTCTTTGGGAGTCTCTTCAAAGGATTTTCGAGCATCTTGAATAATTCCACACTTGGAGTACATAAAAATCAATGCACTTGCCACAAAATTATTTGTCTCAAAGCCTAATTTAATTGCCAAGACATGAACCTGCCGACCTAATTGAAGTGCTGCCAAGTCTGAGCAAGATCTTAGGACAGCAGAAAGGGCATAGTGGTCAATCTCCACCATGAAAGCTCTCATTTTCCCAAAAGACTTCAAGGCATCTTCACTCAATCCAATCTGGGAAAAACCAGTCAAAATGGAATTCCAAGAGACACGATCCTTCAATTCCATGGATTCAAATAAACTCAAAGCTTCTTCCATGGAAGTATTATTTGACTTGAGATACATTGCTATCAGGGCATTGGAGATAGGCATAGAGTATTCCAATCCTCTCTTAATAACTACTGCATGCACAGATTTTCCATGACTTTTGTGTGCTTTTTCAAAACAAGCACTAAGGATACTAGTGTAAGTATAGATGTCTGGTTCAAATCCCAATCTTTGCATATCCAGAAAAAGTTTAAATCCAAGTTCTTCTTTCTCATGAACCAAGTAAGCAGCTAGCATGGAATTCCACGTTACCAAATCACGCATGCCAACTGCATCATCAAACACTTTTCTAGCATCTCCTATTGAACCACACTCCGAATATGAAGTTATCATCGCATTGCACACAGTATTATCACATGCCAGCCCATGTTTTATAATCTTGCCATGAATTTGAATTGTCAACTTATAAAACTCAATATCATCAAGCAAAGTAAGAAGTGGAGCGTACGTGCCATCGTCAACCTTCACTCCCTCCTTCTCCATACAATCTAAGAGCCAAAATACAGTGCTACGATCACCAATTTGCGAAAAGCCAGCAATCAAAGCATTCCATGAGACAGAATTAGGTTCTGGTAAGCATTCAAATACAATGTAAGCATCTCCAACCTTCTCACACTTGGCATACATATCCAAAAGAGCACTCCCTGCATACACATTTTCCTCATACCCCATCTTAACGATCATCGAGTGTAGCTGTTGGCCAACCTCAAGTCTATAACCGGAACCCACACCCTTAAGTAAACTCCCAAAGGTATAGCCATCGAAATCAAAAACGCATCTTTTCATGTCTTTCACAATTTCGAATGCAGTCTCCAAGTTCCCACAATTTACATACCCAGCAATCATCGTGTTCCAAGAAACGGTGTCTCTGTGGAGAACTTCGGCGAACAACTTGCGAGCAATATGTAACTCTTTGCATCTTGCATATGCGTTTAAGATTTTGTTGGCAGTGTAAACATCGGCGGTAGTCCCCAACTTGATAGCGCAACAATGGGTTGTCAAAACCTTGTAAAACGCGTAAGCAGAGCTCTCGAGGAGTGAGTTCAACGGCCTCCTCATACATGGGTAAGTGTATTGTTCTTACCGATAAACTGTTCCTCAAGCGGACAGAGCCGAGACAAGGTCCTTTTATGGGTCAAACAGCCTTTCGAGCTTTAGGCTTTATTTTGGCCTCTTGGGCCTGCACTGCAGCGACCAGCTCTTTCCTACTCGGGCCAGATTATATCTTTTAACTTTCCTCCGGATGTGATCATAGTGTGAATTAATCCTGCTCTTTTCTCTGTTCCCTGCCGAGTTAGATTCATTTTAACAGAAGAAGAAGGAATTCCTTTTAATTTGATCGAACTAGTTCCACGAAATGATTAGATTTCTCCAATACATATAAGTCTAGACGAAACCAACATCAAATTAACATATGTAACCTCAGACTGTATGAACACAATATGTATACAGACACTGTCACAAGCATAAGAGCCACTATTTGAACCGTAAGACAAGAATAATAACGTTTTGATGCATGCTGAACAACACCCAAAGGTTTTTTTTTTTTTTTTGGGTTTATTATATCTTCACCCATTAATTAGCAAATGAACAAGACTGCCGGATTTCCCCTTCATCATCTGTCTTCACTCCGATGGTTGTGAGCTTCAAGAATGACTCCCTCCAACTCCGGAAAAAGCTTTCCTGATCGTTTGCAAAAGCTTCCACTTGTTTCCTCGTTCTTCCATCCTTTGCAAGAACAGAATCTGACTGAAACAACCCTCTGTGGGCCAAGAGATTGGTATAGTACTGGTTATCGAACGCCAGGGATGTCTCGGGATCATTGCTGACAGTGGTAGATGTGCTTGCACCTGCTGGACACTTTTTCATAAGCTCTTCTGCGTAGGTACTGTCTAAGGATGTGTCAATCAGCGTCAGCTTTCCCTTGGAGTCCTGTCGGAATCGATCGCTGAATGCATTACAGTGAGCTAGTCCTATTGTATGAGCACCTGTAAAGCCAAAGCATGAAGCCATTAAAGCATCTAGCAGAAACAGAAAGCAGCAGCCATGTCCTTTTTTATCTTACAGTTTCAAGTGTCGATGCCAATTTTCCATTCTTCAGATCCCAAACTAAGATAACTTTTCAGCAAAATTTAAGGAGTATATAGTCTTTTTTGTTTTTGGTTAGATATATATATAAAAATATTAGTTTATGTCTGCATTTATAATGTAATAAAGAGGGAAGAAAGAAAAGGGGGAAGGGCTATTGACATAAATTTGTGCTGCTTGCAACTGGTTTCATTATTTAAATACCTGATAGCGTAACCAGGTCATCCAGAGACAAGCCTTTAGAGCTGAAGAGCTTTGTCATCTCATCCATAGTAAAACTTGTATCTACAATATTGGGCCTGACATTTGCAGCGTTGGATATCCTGCCATCTCTCCTTCCTGTTGGAATCTGAAATGCAGGTCCACCAGCCTGTTTCCAGGATCACTATGATTAATCACTTAACCGAAGGATAGTGAGGAAGGAAGTCAAGAGAACAGTGATTTAAAGAGCAAAAAATGAAGATGGGGACTCGAGAGTTTACAATTGCAACTGCATCCCTTGCAGCCAAAGCAACAATATCAGCACAAGAAACGGTTCCTGGACAGAAAATTTCAAGCACCCTTTTAGCTGAATCAATAACTGAAAATCCTCCGAGGGAGGTGTTAGCTGGATCACTTCGCTCTGTCTCATTTCCTTGTAGTAGTACTGACGCATCACAACCCTGAACATGACAGTAGCAACCATTATTTGGATTTTGGAATGGCTGAGTCAAAGATATTCTTTGAATTTTTAATCACTTGATTGAGAAATATACATCATGCAACTTTCAAGCTGGCAAGGTTTTTTAAAGCAATATTGGACTGACCTCCACGAAACAGTCATGGAACAACAGGCGCAGTAGTTTCCCAGGGATGGTTGGATCGGCAGAGGAAGCTGATCTCACTGTGTTGCTAACCATGAACTCTGCACCTGGACATGAAATTGCATAGAAGTTGAAAGAGAGGCTGGCGTGGGAAGGAGCAGCAGCAAAACAGAGCACGACAAGTATGAGAAGAGTGCACAGATTACATGTTGAGGAAAAGACTGTAATTTTCGTCTCCATCGAGGCCCTGATTGTCTAGCATAAGTGCACAACTATTACTGCTTTGGCCTTTGGTCCTTCATACCGATACATTTCTAGTAAGTGGCGGTCAACTGGCCAAAGGTTGTCATGCTCCATGAATTTCCTCTATTTAAAGCTGCATTTATGGGATGAGCTGCTGTCAGAGGGGTAGATGAGTTTAGTCATGTATTTAGCAACGTCTCGACAAGCTCCTTCAGAGGATCATTTAAGACCATTGCAACTTCCTCCAGGCATTCTCCGAAATAGAAGATACCAAAACTAAACAATTATAGTAGTCAATAATTTGTGAACACGATACTGTACAACACAATATAAGATTTATAAGATTTCTATTCTCATAACGGCGTGTACAGTGTGAAATACAATATTTCTGTTCTCGTAACAGCCTGTATAGATGATAAGTTGATATCACGATCCTGCAAGCACTGTTTCTAGTTCAAAGATTTAAACAGAAAAATGTATGCATTGTACCCTCCATCTAGCCAAGTTTCTTCTACACGTTTTAGTCTGTCATACATGCTCGAAGTCTCAACAGTGTGAGACAGATTGAAAAAGAGTGCTGGATTGGGAGAGTGGGTTTGGATCTCAAGCAAAGAAAGAAGTACTGTTTACAAAGGAACTTAATGCAGAAGTAAATGGGAGATTGGAGTAACCAAAAACGACTGCAAAAGGAGTGTCGGTGACCACCACAAACATTGCTTGATTGGCTGATTCCTAAACTGATAGTACTGTTTTCATGAACATATCAGTTTCCTGGATTACACTTCCTAAAATTCAAAGCCCTTAATACCACTGGAAATAAATGGATAATTATCATGTTTTATAATTAGAGAATCACTAGTTTGTAGGATTCCATCCAAAATGGGTTTAAAGTTTAAATAAATTCTAAGTTCGTCGGTAAAATTTTAACCTGTAACCAGTTCTTCCTTCCCCGTTTCGCAGTGTTAGCATCATGAAAGGGTGGGCTCCAGAAAGAAATTTCAACTGCTGACAATTTGCTGGCAGTATCTTACAGAAGGATGGTAAGCATGGTACAACTGATTTCGCATCTCCCTAGATTTGGCAACCATTGGAAGCTCTCTGTAGACGATGATCCATCGTTCGGAACAGGTCGAACAGCATGATTCAATCGAGGTGTGGGCACGTGCCACTGATTCTGGGGGAAAAAGGAGCTGGGGCAGATATCTCTTCTGTTTGCATCATACCGTTGGCAGAAAATAATAGATAATTCCCCAAGTTGGAATTCTATGAATTACCAGAGGATATGGATCAGTTCCTCTTTGCCATCTTTCTTGCAGGATATAAAACCAGGTATGAGAAATTATTTGGTTATCCAACAAAAAGACTAGTGAAAATTTTCATTTCTCGGATAATCTTGACCATGACAACACAGCTCCGCCACAGCTGCTGTATATACAAGCGTATAGACTGAAAGATACGACCATTCTTTGCTAGTACTATGCTTTTAGTACTTCCTAACAGGGAAAATGGAGTCATTCGGCAGTGAAGACACAAAAGAACTGAACCAGAGGATTAAATCTGGTCTTCAAAATGCTAAAAGCTTTGAGCTTAGGAACACTAACCCCTGCCATTTAGCAGAGAATTCGCCACTTCTAGTATAATCACTTTCTAGGAGTACTTGCTGTTGTTATCTTTGTCAAACAAGGATGCCACCTTTGATCGAACTCATAGATACCTAGAGATCAGAGGATCCCGTTAAGACTAGCAAAACCAAGTTGCACCATCCTGGAGAGGTAAACCAAGGAATCACTGGCGTAAAGGGTCTAGAATCCCAGGGCCAAAATGAATTTTCTTAATTGATTTATGCACCTTCTCTAACCCTTCTAACTCAGCACCCTTAGGCCTCAAAGCACCCAACTTTAAGGGCAATGCAAGAACATGTTCGCTAACCCAAAAGCATCACCATTAAAGACCACGAAGCAAACTTGGCAAGCAGCGAGAAACACAATCAAACAGCTTTTAACATATATTAGTATTTAACTTTGAAACATTCTGAATTAGTCAAACACCAAGTACAAGGTAAAGTAGCAGATAGTAAGATTCCCATAAGCTAAGAAATCGACAGAAACACATTAAGCACATAAAAGTAACAGATAGATTCCCATAGCTAAAAGTGATTTGAAACGAGAGGCCGCAAATTCAAGAGACAACAACGCGGCCAACAACGGGGTACTTAGCTTCGAATTTCTTGACCCAATCGTTAAGGACATCGATCTCCTTATCGGAGAGGCCATCGATATTGGGGCAGACATCTTCTTCGTTCTTGCTCATCTTTCCAAGTGCTCTGCTGGCGTCTTTGCCTGCGAACAGGGCGTAGGCGCCGCCAGGACCGTAGAAGGATTTGCCAGCGGTGACGTCGTAGATAACGCCTTTCACTGCAACGTAGATGGGCTTTGATGGGTCGGTGCCGTTGAATTGGCTAAGCTGCTGGGGTGTCAAATCCATTGAAGGTTCGGTAGGCGAGCAGACCACGAAGCTGAAACCAGAGGAAGGAGACCAGAGTTTTTGGTACCCCTAGTTTGCTTTGGTTTGGTTACCGATATACTCGTGTCAAGCTGTGACACGTGTCTCGTTTATGCTCATTTAATTTTACAATAATATTAAAATAGAAGTCATTTTAAAATATCTTAAAATTCTTAACAATTAGTATATGATTCGAATGAAAATATATTAATATCAATACAGACAGCAAAATAATTGACTTAAATAAATAAATAAAATAATTCATCGAAGAAGCTGAAATATATAATTATCAAATTATAATAAATATATTTGATTGCCATCTTCTTATTCGAACCAAAATAAAATGAAAAGGCAAAATTATCATCGTAGAAAAGTTTTTTGCTGGTACGATAATTTTTTCGGTAATAGCATTCCTTCGTGAAATTAGCACCGCACGGGTCTAAACTTGCCAACATAGTGGCAGAGAGACCAAGACGGGCACGAGCGTCTTTGGTACAATCATTTTATTTGGGAGAGGTAATTCAATGGCCATCAAGGATATTTCTAATTCCTAACTAAAAATAAGTAAACTGTTGAATTTGCAAAGATTCAGAATCCTCAAAAACTGCCCAATCAAGTGGTTTGAAGAAAGAAGAATTATATCACCCCAATAACCAGAAAAAAAATGTTACCTTGGAACATAATTTTAGATTTTGGACGTTAATCCAGTAGCTAATCATCTGAAATACAAACAAAGCTAAGTCTCTTAATCAAGCCATACTACAGCTACACAGTCCATAAAATTTTAAGATAAAATCTAAGGTGGTGTTCTTCTCCATCTTGAGAAGAAATCAACATAAACTTCCAAGTTCCGCCAGTCTTCATAAGTTACTTCCGCTCGCCACCTCCAGAAATTGGTCAGAGAATCGAAGATGAACGAACCACGTATATCACAGAGGAATACCCCCACCCGAATATTCTACCTCCTGAGAATTTGATCAATTTAAAGCTAGAATTAGCCAAATGCTCCATATAAAACCATTGATAAGAGACAGCATTAGACACAGTATGATGGAAATTGTACCCAAATAAGTTAAATACTATATGAACAGTTTTATTAAGTTTAGGCAGATGGATTAAAAGGCATTAGTGGGTGCCTTCTCTCCCCACTAAAATGAAATTTATAATGAAATAATCACAGGAAATATCAAATGATAATTGCTTTAAGATGGTTTGAGATGTTAATTATGGAATTTTCATAAATCCAGAGCCACTAGCACTTGCATAGCCTTATTCCTATTTGCCAAATCTAACATCATCAGATGTTACTTTCAATTTGATGAAATATTTCATTAATCCTCCCCCTTCCCCTCCCCCTTCTTTTTCACTTAAAATCCTATTGCTGAATTGTCCTGAATTCTTTAGGAACAAGAACTGAACACAAACTTTGCAAGAAGGAAAAAGGAAGAACCGATCAACCTGAGCAGGGGGTAAGGATGACACCCAGTCTGATGCATGTGTTGGAAGAAGCCCCAAAGTGTTAAGCTGCCAAGACCAAAGAAATCAAAGAGGAATATGCAAATATTAGATAACTTAGGTTTTGTCCCCTTTCTTTCTGTCTAATAATCTTTAAAGGTGAAAATCAATTAGGAAGTGAAGAAAAGGAAACTGCATCTCACCTTCCAAACACCAAGTGCTAAACCACCCAAATTAAGGGCAATGAAAAGCAACTTAGGCCCAAGAAGATCTACTTTATTGTCTTTGTAAGGCTCAAAAACTGCAAAATCAAAGTGAAATTTGGATGAATCAACTTTTAAGTGGAAATCGCACAACTGTAACATCTGAAGAAAATAAAATCTAGGCTTTGGGGGCATTTGGTGGAATGCAGGTTGTCTTCCATATGCATCTTATACACTTTACAAGAGGGAAATCAGCTATTGACCCTAGACAGAAAGGGAGAAAAAATGCCAAGCATATTTGGAGGCAAAAACATTGAAGATTCTGTAGAAGCAAATTAGATAGGTTTCTTTTGAATGCTTAAGTCGCATTCATTAGTACCTTATGGTTAAAAGTATTTCATTCTCAATTAGGGTATCTTACCCACCCTAATCTTTCTTCTCTTGACTGTTTCACCACTCTCTCGAGTACAAAGGAAATAGAACAAGTCATGAAGGATAAAGAACATAGGGAAAAGACAACAATAAGCCAAAAATACAGGATAAGAGAAATTTAATATTAGAGGTCAGCTTACCCTTCCCAACCCCTTGAAGAGCACTAATAGGTTGCCAAAGTGCTGAAAAAGTGATACCAATGCTAAATAGATGCACTGTACTTCCAGCCATCCACATCATGAAGCCCATCATTAGCAAATTCTTAAAAGGTGCTTGTGCCACTTCCCAAGCTTTCTGTTCAAAAATAAAAGAAATATCATCTTAAATAACATATTTTGATCAGTTACATCTTGTAGTAATATATGTCTGTTTTTGCCTTATGAACCTAATTGCCAAAACTAAACTTTTACCTAAAGGAACACCTAAACCTGCTAACAAATTCATGGATACACTCAATCTTCCCAACAACAACTATGCCAATATGATGCATCAATCGATAACTAGACCTCAACCATGCACCAAGAGAAGACATCTCTGCTTTCCCCTCACCTTGATGTACTCTAAAGTAGCTGAACTCAATTGCAATTTAGGGTCGTACATAATTGAAAGACACAACATTGATGATCCATGCATTCTGGTCAAAATAGCTTTGGGTTGCTGCTTTGCCCCAGACCTATATATGTTCTTTTACGAATAAAATTTGCATTGGATATAAATGAATAAATGAACTCTCATATACACTTATCAGCGAATGTCAGGCGAATCCGCCATGTATTACTAGATAAAACTCAGATGCTGAAACTCAATTCCGAATGTTCTTTGTTGCACATTATTCAACGAATTCATATGCCTATACATCTATTACACTTATTCACGATCTGCAATGGTAATTTCTCAGTTAAATCCATTAGAGAGTAGTCCAAATCCTCCATAATCAACCCATATATCTTCACAAAGTTGAAAACCTCAAGTCTTTAAGATCCAAAAGAAAATCAATTTGATTCCTTAATTGATCATCTCCTCACTTTTCTCTGACACCAAGTAGACTATATGGAAAATTAAAACACAAATTTGAAAATTAAAAGTAAAAAAAAAAAAGGTCGGGGTGGTACCTGAGCTTTCCAATTGGCTTCAGCATCCTTCTTTTGGCGACTGACAGCCGAATCGTCCTGCCCAAATGCATAGTTTAACCTAATAAAATTGAAAGATAATGCATTTAAGAAGAAAATAAAAAGAAAAGAAAGAGGGGAACCTGATCCACAGAGGCACGAGAGAAGCCGGGAGGATCGGGGATGTCACGAGAGGAAGGAGCCGTCGAATTGTCGGAGAAATCAACGGCCCATCTCCGGCCGGACCCCATCACTCCTTTTCCCTTCTCCATCTTTGTCTTTTCTATTTTGTTTATTTGTATTTGACGGACACTGCTACAGCAGTTCTTATATCAGTTAAGATTACCGAGTGGCGAGGGGGAAGAGAGCCGCCTACCAGACCTGTTGCGTTGCGGGGTTTCGTACTGGGCTTGGGCTACTTCATATTGGATTTGACTTTAGATTAACAAAATTTTAAAAATTAAATTAATCAAATTTTAAAAAAATAATCGAAATTAATTGAATTATAATAAAAATCAAAATCGATTTATTTTGATAAGTTTAATTTTTATTTCGATTTTTGATGTATATTTTTTTATATATTAATAATTTTTTTATAAATATATATTTAAAATATGTTAAGCTAAATTTTATAAACATTAACATTATTATATATAAATATATATTATTAATCATGAATTTTTAATAATTTGATAGTAATTTTGAATGCTGAAAATCAATTAAAATAATCGAATAGAATATCATTTTAACTCATTAATATTCAAAAAGGATCAAAATTAATTGAATTTCATCCATTAATGATTATTTTGTTTTGAACTGAATAATATTCACTGGTAAATCTCGAAATGAAAAACTTTTATTATTAATTTTTAATATTTGACTTAATTCTAAGATTGAGAAAAAGTAAAACTTCATCAAATCTTTGTAATACAAAAGAATATTTTTAAAGGGAAAAGATCCAAGCTTCAACAACTGTAATTTAAAGGACAAATTTATTATTTTATCTTTAACTAAAATCTTTGGCTATGCTAGTATTGTTCCTGTGTTTTTCATGTAAATAGTGTCAAATTACAACGAAGAACACTCGAGGAATCCAAGCTCCTACAGTCATGCTATTACATTGTTATTTGTTAACGTTTAAGCTCCTCTGAAACTCAGGAATGACTACTACAACTCCGGTTTACCGGAAAACTTGTCCGAAATGTTGGCTAGAACAAAACCTGCAAAGACCTGTGTCCAAAGAAAAGTGGTAAAACAAGTTAAAGAAGATCAAGACAGTTGAGGGCTGAAAAGTGATTATAATTCCATGTTTTGATCACCGGGAAAGGAACTTTCGGTTGTTTTCTCCCCCGAGTAAAATGGAACAGAATACTGGGTTTTGAACGATCATGAGAAGCAAGCTACCTGAATGCAGCCGAAGATGTAGACTGCAGAGAAGTGACGGCCGTGTATAACCATGTCAGCTAACATCGCAATGGGAATTGTCAATGACATTCCTAGTGTTGCAACTAATGGAGTTGTCCAAACCACAGAGAGCGCCCTGCATCATTTTTTAACGCAATAAAATTTCAGACACAATTTCACAACAACGTCAACATGTCTGGGATTGATTGGGTTGAGTTATTATGGATCAACAGCTATCCAAGCAATAAGCCAGAATCTCACATTGTTCTTGGATATGGATTAAGGGGATGGAAAAAGGTTTGATGATTTCATGTCATGGTGGCATTCAACTAGTTCAGAAGTGAAAGGAGGCTGCTCTACATACCAGAAGTAGTCTGACAGAACACTCCCCACAATGCCATTAAACAGAACTACTTCCCCGACAGATGCCGAATGTGGAAATGAGAATGGAGGTTCTATCCCCACAGCATTAAGTGGCCACACTGCACATAGATGACAGAGCTGTGTGAGTTCAAACGAAAAACTGTTGGGACAATCGCTGAATATGAGCATTTGACAGAAGATTCCAGCAGCACAGGCAAACGCAAGCCCTCACATCTTGAGAGAAATGAGAGAACAAACATGCACTTAAGTTACTTGAAATATAAGGAGATTAATAGATTATTTACCGAGCCACCAAAGGCCGAGAAGAGTGAAGAGACCAATGTATCCAAAAAATTTTTGAACATCAACCTTCTCTCCTTCTGATCCAGCAGATTTCTTGAGCAGAACTGCATAAATGCACCAGTAGGTGGATATAGAGTAGAAGAGCACGGAAACAATCTGGCCAAATAAAATTGATTATAATCATGGTTGATTCTCGATACATCAAGAGATCCTACCTGTAAATAAGCCATATGAAATTGCTGAGAGAAGCCCAAAAATGTCCCCTGTGATGCAGTGCCTTCTAGTCCTGGGAAACATGAACATAACATGATTCCATAAAAGAAGATGATCATGAAAGGAAAACCGAAAAACCCTTTTAGCAGCATTATTATCTGTTGCAGGAATCATAGCCTATAAGCAATTCTCGAAGAAGGAGCATGCAAAGATTATGTGAAGAGTGTCTAAGGCATTTCAATATTCATCAATTTGATGGGTGCTTCCTATAAGCAACCTGAACATTATACAGCATTAATTTATGCATCTAGTATATTTTATGTATTATAAAGGAATAAAGAACTATCGGCAAAGAAATGTTATAAATTATTGGTAGAACTAGCTAAGAAAGACCCAACTCACTCAGAGACGCTCAGCATTTCATCTGACGCCCATGTTTTTCCAACCGTGGTCGTGGCAACACCTGCCATGCTAATAAATACAGCAACCACTTTTGCAACATTTATGGTATCCTGGCCAAGAAGAGCTCCAAAGAAGAGTGTAAAGAGCCCTGAAGTAGAGGTTAGGACAGTTGTACTAGCAACACTGGTATTTGCCAGAGCACTGTTTGATAAATACTGCAAGTTATAAAGCAACCATATATTAGTCATGCATTCGGATGAATGCACCATGCTTGCAATAGTATCCAGTTCAGATTAATCAGATATACTAATTCAAACTAGGCAACAGATATCCACAAGAAGATATCCCAAGAGCACACACTTGGGTGTAACCTAAATCAGCCCCCTCACGAATGTGTCCTGTCAGCCAATGATTCTAACTGGAAGATTAAGATAAAATGATGTTACCTCAGTTATAAACCATATTGGAGTTAGATATAAACTGCACTTGGCAATTTCCCATGAACTCAGTCCACCACCATGTTCAGGCAATTGAGGTTCATCTTTCTCATTACTTGAGTTGAGAGGCTGCCCCTCTTCTCTTTCACTAAGATCCTTGTCAGTTATCAAGCAGCTTCTGAGGTCAGCTTCTGCACTGTGGGGCACGTCATTGATCTTAAGAGAAATATCAGGCCCAATCGAACTACTAATTACGGAGCTGCCATCGTAGAGGTTTCTAAATAAATTTGCATCAAATAAGTTGCAAATCCAATCCTTTAAAACTGCTATGGGTATATAAACCACCATAAGAGACACACCAAGGTAAGTGAGTGCAAATGGTTGTTTGTACTCAGCGAAAATCCTCTGAAACAAGTAATCAGTTTTAAGTTAAAAATTTATGATAACGATAGAAACAAAAGAAGGATCATGTCCAGGAAAGCTGTGTAAGAAGAAAAGTTGAACAAACCTCTTTGATGATACCTATACAGAGGCAAATCAAATGAAATATCTAATCTTCAATCAATACTACCCAAAGATAAATATCAATCAAGATACTCAAAAGGACCTAACATAAATCCTAGCTTCAGAACTTTTAAACAAAATGTCCTTAGAAAGCATGGAGTACTGAGAATCAATAAGCTATACATCTCAGGAAATAGTCATCAAGAAACACAGCAATAATTCAGCTCTGTCACGTTCGAACACACAATTCATTTAGTTTTTCTTTTCAATTCCAAACATTTCTTGGTAACCAAACGATTCCCGGAGAGCTAAAGGAAAACAGAGTATAATAAATAGACAACAAACCTGTGTTATCTCTGCAGATGCAACCCATATAAACACAACGGTGCCAATCAAACCTAACCCAGCATAATACCTCCAACCCATCACCTAAAACACCAAACCAAAAGGCTAGACACTGGAAATTTGATCCCAAAAGATTGAGCTGAATTGGCCTTGAATTTGATATATCAAATCCTAAAAAGCGTTATCTTTTGTATCATTCAATCATGTTGAGCTGAATCAGGGGCCAATTTTGAGTCAGTGTAACCAACTGGTACGTGAATGACAAGGTATAAGTCTTGAATTGAAGTTATCGGCTTTCTTCTTTTTTTTATTTTCTTTTTAATGGGATTTATTTGTTTATTTGTTTTTGCCGTTAGAGTCAGCAGGACAAGACTGTGAGAGTGACAAGTGGTTTCATGTCAACGAAAGGATCGTTGAAAATCTGGCGGTTGAAGCCTATGAAGCGGCGTTTTAACTCCGCGGAACCTTTAAGAAGGGGAAGCTGGAGGCGGTCACAGGATCTGTGGGTCCCATGCACCTCGAGCCATGTCAGTGGTCAACACACACGTGAGCCCTTTGACGTGGCAAGACACTTGCCTAAGCCCTGTACACTGTTCTCTTGACTGTAATCTTAATGCTTTATCAGTTTGTCCTTGCCTGGAACATTGTAGTGATAAGGAAACAGTAGATATTTTCTCAGCAAATTAATGGAATGCTTAAATCATATAATTTTGTTTTTCCCACTGGAATTAAGTTGTACAAGAAAATTGGGGTACAAAATTTCTCTGTCTCACAAGCTCATGAAGATCATGGACAATCTTGAACACAGCCTCAGGCCTTGCCAACTTCAAAGCATTTTGTGACATGGCCTTGAGTTCATCTGCTTTGGGTCCAAACCACTGGGCAACAATATTGGCTATCTCTTTTGGCGACTTGGAAAATTTCCCACATCCATTTTCAACCACATAAGGAACATTTCCAACCTCCTGTAAAAGCCAAAACAAGATTTTCTTAAGTTTTCTTGGCAAAAGTTAGAACTCCAATACAAAAGTTCTATTTCAACATTCGCATTGATCTTCTGATATAATTTAACCCAACATTACGAGGTAGAGACTAGAGAGTACAGACAGAAGTGAGGAAAAAAGTTAGAAATTTAATGTTCGGGATGGGGTGTAAGAACTGGGAACATTTTGTTCTGGATCTCCCATCATTTCTCCTTCTGCTTATAACATATCGATGGGGTGTAAGGTGAGTCAAACTACATGGTTTTCCTACAAGATCTGGAAAGTTATAAAGAAAATCACCTGGCAAGTTGTACCAGAAAAACATAGTTTCAAGAGAGTAAGATATAGAATCTGTTGGCAAAGGTAATTTTGCCAACCCCCATAGGATACATATGCTACTGGCTCTTCCAGTCACAAATACAACCTTGTGTATTGTGATGATCTATACCATCTAAGGCATGGCATTAAATTAGATATCATTTGCTTCAAAATAGTATATGACAATCGAGTATAAACAGGACAAAAAAGCCCATAGACCATATTCTGTGTAAAACTTAAGTCGCTTACACTCTCTTTTTCCTTCTATACTTACAGCTGATGAGTAAATCATATGAGTGCACAAGAAACAGGAAATATACAAATTATAATTCCTTTTAGATTTCAATATGTTTTAGCCTAGTTTAGCTATTTAGTGTAGTCAACTTATTTATTACATTTGATAAATTAGGGATACTCATCTTAAGCAAGACTAAGAATAGAAGTACAATATTTATATAATTGAAATATGATCCAGATAATAATTGTAAAATACAGCTAGGAAGAATATCTGCCTCTTTCCCCCCAAAAGCCAACCTTTTTTTAATCTACTTCAGAAAGATTACATCTAAGAGTGAAAAAAAAAATAAAGAAAGAAAAAAGAAAACTTACCTGCCCAGCAATGTAACCATTCAAAATGATAGGAAGACCTCGTATCATAGCCTCAGCAATAGTCCCTGGGCCCGCCTATTGAAGCAAAAGTCATTCAAGATTAAGAACACGCATTACAGGCATCCATATATCATTACTGCCATCAGAAAGTTACCTTTGTAATAATGCAGTCGCAAGCACCCATGCATTCTTCCATTTTAGTGACAAATCCCTTGACCTATAAGATTGTGCAATTTCAGGAAAATATCATATGCATTTAAGTCTGTGCATATGTATCTGCAAATATAAAGGAACATCATATGGCCTATATGAACCTTCTTTTTATCACAAACGTTGGGATATGGTTTGGCATGCTTAATGCAGATAGACATATCCTATAGAAATCTGTAAAAATTTAGAATAAGTTTATCATATATTTACACTAGTTGAAGGAGAATATTACAAAAGTCTTCTCATGGTTCTTGAAAACGGCATGTGCATAGGAATTATAAGTAGAAGTCTAGAAGAAGATGTAGCTGTCCAAAGGAACCTTACATATTAGAAACTGAAGAAAAATCAATACCTGGACAGGAATTTTCCAATCATTTGAAAGCAATTTGCTGGCAAGCTTTTTGTTGCGGCCACAAATCACAAGGATTTGACCTATTGGCTCCCCAAGGTTCTCATCATATAATGCATTTCCAAGTGCACGAGCAGTAGCCTCAATGGGCCCCATTCCTTCCCCTCCTCCCATCAGCAAAACAGCAGGAAGATCCTCATCCATTCCTAATTCTCTCCTCAGCTCAATCTACAATTATCAACAACGAAATTAGTCAGTATCATTTGATCCAATCAGACAAAGAAAGATGAATAGACATAGAGATCTCAATGGAAATAATAAATTCAATCATAATTGCAGTAGCACATGAAACAAAAATTGGTCGAACAGCAATCTGCAAAGTGAAAAGGAAAAAGAATTGCGGAAACTGAATTGAATAAACTTGTAGCATCAAGACTTCTGTCCATGTGTGCAAAAGTTGGGGACAATAGTTTACATCGAAGAATAAAAGTCATATCGGCATAGAGAATATAACAGTTCATTAGTTTGAAAGGTAACCACCTTTGGCCGGACAGGCTTTACAAAAGAAGGTCGCACTGGAAGGCCATAAACCTTAATTTGGGATGGTTGAAGTCCAGCTTGTAATGCCCTTTTTGCTACTTCTGCTGTTGGGCAATAGCATCTTGTTACAAGCTTATGAAACCTAAAAAAAATTATATACATGACTGAAATTACACCAAGAATAAGTGGATTGAGAAGCATGAAACTAAGATGCAGAACTAACCATGTAGGATGGCAGGTGCTTAAGTCTGTGACCACTGTGGTAAAGACTATCTTCTTTAGTAGACCCTTTGCCCTCAGAATACGAAGTGGAACATGTTGCATCAGTGGATGTACGCTGATAATAATGTCTGGCTGGTATTTCATCAGCCCTTTGGCAACCTCTCTACAATAAGAATACAAAATAACAGAATCAGATAAGTACATGCCCTAAAACAGATACATGTCCTTGTGTCTCGATGCATTTACAAAAAAATGCATGTTCAAACAAAAAGAAAAGGAAAGAAGTTGATCACTTGAGTCTTACGAGAATGGTAAAACAAATCATATACTAATTTCTTGCAAGGCTGACAAGCTTTATTCTGTTTCATTCACATATCTTATCACATTAGATCAAAAGGGTTGACACAGTCATTGATAAAAACTTGTTGAATGGTGATTTGTTATGAAGCACAGCATAATTAGCACTACAGAAAAGCAATCTAAATGCATCTATACCAAGAAGACCACAAATTCTCACCTAGCAATGAATGTTGAAGTTGCAGCAAAATTAGACTGATGAACCACCCGCGGAGCAGTTCCATAATACGTCATTTTCCACAACGATCCATGTTTCACCAAGAAGTTATAGCTCTTCGGTAATTGATTAAATGGCCAGGGCGTATGATCAGACCACAAATCTGTAACAAATACCTGCAATATGCCATTGTTAAGATATATAACAAAGATCAATGAACAACATACGCACCCACTAATTCTTATCCCCTAATTGTTCGACCACTTGCGAAGAATTTTACAAACATAAAGACAAATAAAACTGAAATACGCTTGCTTTAATGTAGTCCCAGTTAATCAAAACAATATTAACACTGCAAAAGTACTGACAAAAGAAGTAAACTTTCTTAATTTATGCCTTTCGTCCACATTTTCTTTGCCACCAAACAAAAGGAAACTGACCTGATAATCGTCTCCAAATTCCTCGTTAAAGGCAGCCTTAATAGCTTCAGCGGAGGCTCTATGACCCCCACCCGTATCACTCATCAAAATCAAAACTTTCTTGGGGGTCTCAGCTCCGACTCCATTCAAAGGCAAACCTTCAACCTGCAAAACACCACCACCACCATCTACTCTCAACCCATTGCTATCCTCAGAACCAACTCGAACCGAAGCGAACCCAATCGGGATTCTATCGCAGTGAAATTTAATCACTCTATTGAACTCATTCACGATTCTCCTAACGCTCGAAGAAACACTGTTCCGGGCACCCAAACTGAGTGAAGCAGCAGCTGTAACTCTACGCCTTCTCTGAGAAACTGAACCTCCGAACCCCGAAAAATACATGTAATTTGGCTTAAACGAATAGAACCCATCTATATGTGAGCTATAAAAACTCTTGTTGAATGCCAAGTGACCCAATTGAGTCACGAGATCTAAGGCAGGGCTCGATTCTTGGGTAACCGCGGAGGGGCTTTGCATTTTGGAAAGCTTTTTCCTAGTTGCAGAGTCGATGAGAAAGAAGTTAAAAACAATTTAATCCATACTAGTCCTTATCGCAAATAAGAACCAAATTTCATTTATTTATATGAAAATCTAATGGTGCTTCCGTGGCCACAGAGTTAGGATTTAGTAAGTAGATACCGAGAATCGAAACCAAAAATGCTTTATTGCTGCTGCTGCCGCTCCTGCTCACTCTCTCTCTCTCTCTCAGCCTGCGACAATAACCAGACCCACGTTTCTTGGGTTGGGTTTGGGTTCGCCAAGTTAGTTCCGGTTTGGTTCGTCCACAAGTTTCATGTTTGGTCCTCCTCGCCGCACTCTACGAGCCACATCAGACATCAAAGTCCACCTCAAAATAATCAAAACTAACGATTTAATTTCTGCCAAAAAAAGAAAATAAAGTTCCGGCCTTTGCAAGTACAGAGCATTCACATCCCATTTGACCCATTTACGTCTCTTTCGGGGTTAGACGGCCCTGACCACTTTCCATTTTGTTTCCCAAACTTGGTCGAACCGACCATCTTCCTTCACGTGCTTCGCGTTACTACATGGCCTTATTATCAATTTGGCTTATAATCAAAATTTGATTAAGTCAATGTATCTTTCTTTGTATGCTTTGGTTATGAGCTTATTATCAATTTGGGTTAATTATATTTTTAAATTATCATATATTTATTCATTTTAAATTTTAAAATTAAACAATTCAAATCAATTAAATATTTTGATATATAACTATATTTTCATGCTAAAATAGTAACATGTATGAAATTGTCTAAACGTGAAATTGAAAAGCGAAGGCTATGTTAGTTGGATACATGCCTTTCCAATATTACTCTTCCTTTTATCTTTAGTTAAAAGTATTTGTTGATAAAAACGATTACTCCTCTGTCTCGCTTTTATTATTCATCTTTATTAGAAAAATGGTCTTTGTCGATTCTCTTCACCTTTATACCTATCACATTAAAAAAACAAATAAATAAATAAATCCAACTTTCACATTATCCTCACTTTAATATGACATTATGACTCAAGTTTGCCAAGTTGACCACCAAAAAAACCTAGGTGGTGCCAAACCTCCGTCCACAAAGTGTTCATATCACCATAGTCACAAGCATGAAGCATGATCAAAAGAATGATATACAATTCGTTTTACTCACACGCATTCAAAGTTTGCAAAAAACTTTAACAATTAGATTAGGTTTGTTTGTTGAAATGTTAAGAAACAAATAAGCATGTGAATTTCATGCAAACTTGGTCTGTATTATTGCGCTAGCATGTGACATTCAATTGTTCATGATAACGACGAGAACCCCACCGTCCTCACCGTCCACCAAATCGATCCTTTGGTGGAACTCCCACTAAGGTTTTGGATATGAAATTTCGCCATTTGCCACATAGCTTGCAAAACTAGAGCCTCTTTGAACTCCATTGTTGTTGGTATGCTACCAGTTTGTACATGTCACCTTTCTTTCATCGTGTTCATCTGAAAAAATTTCAATGGAAACATCTTTTGTCAAAATGGGTTTGAGTCAAGAGACGACCAAACCATAAACATGGAAGAGGTTTTGCCCGGAAACCAGGCACTGGCCATGGGCAGGCCGTACAATGGAAAAGGCTTGTGGGCTTGAAGAAGAGACCCAGACTTCGTGTCTTTGGGCTTGAATAATATATCCTATAATATTATATAATATTCTTTCTCAGTGATGGATGATCAACTTTTCATTAGTCAAACTTTTATACCAAGATTCAAAACAAGGTATTATGATTTCCAACAGAAAAAGTCAATAGTATGAAAGGGAGTAAGAAGGCATTAAGTTTTTTTTTTTTTCCTTTTTTCACTTTTTCTAGATATTATAATATGATTCCATACACTCATGATTTATAATAAGGGTTCTATGCATTTGAAAATAATAGTAATTGATGAATTAGATAATATTGACAAAAAATAAATGCGGAGAGAAGTTGAATTCTCATCATTAATTAAGATCTCTAACTTTATACTGTACTTTCATTGTCTAAGCTAAGCTATATATTGTAGACACATTAAATGTGATTGAAGATAAAGATAGAAATGGGTAATAACAATTATTGAATGTTTGTGTATATTTATTAATTACATGTCAAAACGGCATTCTTTGGTTATTGAAATTGACTCTAAGAATGCAATTCACTATGCAAACAATGATATCAATTGTTCTTTAGTAGACGAAACATATGAGATTGAGATGAATTGCATCTTGAGCTTGTCTTTCTAACATATTCTTAGAGAGACGAATTCAATTACATGCGGATTAACAAAAATCTAGATTTATCGTACTAGGGATTTTTATGATATCTCTAATTCTTGGGTTTTTTGTTTTGGTCTATTTTCTTGCCTTTGGAAGTCAAAAAACAAAAAAAAAATGCTTCAATTATTAAAGTGAGTGAGATTCTTCCTTTCCTTACCATCCTCACGATCTCTTTGGCTTACAACACCAAAAGAGAAAAAGAAAAGAAAAAAAGAGCAAGGACGCCAATCACATCACCATCGAAGGCAAGAATCCATGCTTGAAACATTGAGCTTCAAGCAATAAAAAAAAAGGAATAGATTTAGGCTCTGGGTCATAGAACATATCTTATAGAAACAAGACAGGCATATCGCACGAGTGGGGTTAGAAAAATGATAATGGTAAATGAATCTTTGAGTGGTCCAATTCCTTCTCATATTTGGAAATGATTTTACAGGGCACACACACGCATGTAAAACTTTTTCAGGCATTTTGGAATTCCCATCTTTCACACACAAAAAAGGCAAAATTAGTGCATGCAAGAAAGTGCTTCTAGATTTTGGGAAAATGCTCTCATCATCACTCAGCCCCCCTCCCCTCCCTCCTTCCAGATGCTCAAAACCACTATCTTTAACTAATGTCAAAAGCTTTAATCATGCGGAGAGGAAACCAGAAATGTTGTCTTGTCCGAACGACAATAACAAAGGAATACCCCAGCCCTCTGATGTTCAGTTAACAATCATGGATGTTTCTCTCAATGGGGCAGATTTTGATATCTTGCTTGACTTTTGTGTACCTAAAAGGGATGAGAAAACGCCTTACCTAGATATTCTTGTCTAGGGAAATTTGGGTTTCTAGAGGCTGCTAATAATCCTCAAATTAATTAGAACCTAGAAGACTTGTTAGAAGAGGATTGGGTGACGAAACTCCTTATATGCTGTTTTGTTTGGTTAGGAGGGCTTTCGTTAATCACTTTTTATGCTTAAGACTCACTTATTGGCAGACATGACACATTTTCTTTTTTCAAAACTTGAAGGGCCAAATGTACTATTTCACCACACTATCCCCCCTCTTGCATTAATGATGTTAATTTAAGAGAAGCATATCCTCGAAATCATATAGAAAAAGTTATAATACCGGAATTTTATATTTATTCTTTAAATATATTTTAAAAAATAAACTCAATTACAGATGAATTGATAAAAAAAAAATTTACTCAAGAAGAATTTTTTTTATATTTTTATAATCTTCTTATTTCTCTTAGCTTGCTAATTTAGAAGATTTTAACTCTCCCCAACCTCATAATTTAAAAAAAAAAATCCCATCATAAAAGTAAAACCATAAGGCAAAGGCTAAGGATAAACTTGATAAAAACCGAGATTAAGTTAATCATATAACCTGCCAATTAGATTTGTTAATCTAAGTCAAGAAGTATAATTATTGATGAAGAAAGATACATAGCTTAATAGCTAGCTAGTTCTATATATACTATTTTAGATGGGAGGGGGAAATAGATAAATACCAAGATCGACTTGATTGGAGGTTGATCATCATCAGCCCCATGGCCCATCAGGGTCATGCACGTTAACCCAAATTGCTTCCTTGTAACTTATAAGACTAAATTAAAGCAAACAATCCACGTTGCTCTCGAGTCCCCATACGACACGCACAATTGCATCAACTTTCTCGTCAACGCCAAGGCCCTACGTTCAAATAGTTCTTAGGAGATGACTTGACTTAATACACTATATATATATATATATATATATATTTAAAATGTAATACTAGGAGTCTTTATCAAAAGCGGCGTAATTTGCCCTTCAAAATGTGAAAGACGAGACCATGTTTGCAGCTTTGTTTGACAGGTTGTTATTGACTAATAATGAAGCTGCACCCTAGAGGATCTGTCTTGACAGTAATTTGTCTTGATTTATTTATTTATTTTGAATACTCGGATGAGTTCATAAGGAGAATATGGAGCCTAAGCTAAAGCAATCTGATCACGCCAAAGTCTAGCAAGACCCACACGTTTAATTTGCGGTGATAGCTAGGATATGCCATGGTGTAAGCCCCAAGTGTGTTTTCACTGTGGGATAATGCTGTGTTTTCATTGTTAGGTGTAAATCATTAGAATCAAAGGTATTTGAATTTGCATTAATGGAATGAGGAATTTACAAGAACCCCAATCAAATCTCTAATCTTTTGGTTTCATAGAAAATTGGATACACAATGAATTATAATATCAAAACAATCTCATTTTAACACCGGCATAATTCTTATATCATAATCGTTCAGTTACCCTTCAATCCGCGTAACGATATGACATAGCATAATTGATTAATTCTCAGTTTCAAATCTTGTTTTGCAAGATTATATATGAAAACTTGGTTACGTAAAAGGATTTGCAACATTTTTTGCTTCATGAAAGAGAATTTTTCTTTTCGAAGCCTATTTGAGTAGTTGAAGGTATTTGTATACGCAATGCCATTTTCCAAATTTGAAGTCAAACTCAAAGTAGAAAGTGGAGAATAAAGGATGCAATAATTTCACAGACGAAAATATGGAAAAAATACGAATCCAAACAAATTTGCTTCAGACCATAAAATTCGTTTTGGGTCGTATGAAGTTCAACGCCAATAATGCAAAGAGGGATTGGAAAACCGCGTGAACAAAGTTGTAAACTCTGTGGATAAATGATATGTCAAATTTCAGACGCAAGCCCAAGGACTTAATGAATTCATCATTATTTCTTTGGCTACAAAACAGTATACATTAAAGTCAAAATTAATAGGAATTTAGCCATTAAACCAAAGATTGAAGACATTAGAATAAAATATTTAGACATTTCTAAATTTTGATTAAAATTAGATGGCGTTATATTAATTTGAGAAATATACGTTAAGTTTTAAAAGAATGTATGTTGCTAGATATATAAGTCTAATCATTAGTTCACTGTTGAAGTTTTTATTAGTTTGTTGATGTGGTAATTTTTTTAAAACAATTTTACCCTTAAATATGTTAAAAATTATAACACTATATAAACCTTTATTTCTCATTTTTTATTTTTTTTCTTTTTTTTAAAACCCCTACCTTCCTTCTCCAACCAAATCTAGCATTCTCCAACTAAATCTAGGCTCCTCACTCGTTGGCATCAAGGAGTGCCAAATCTGAACCCAAGGTGATAGATCGGTGTAAAGAAGTGTCATCGACTGATCAAATTGTTTGTAAAAAAACAAATTCAAGGAAAGAGGAAAGAGTATTTTAATGTTTTCATTTTTTTTGTTAACAGTGTTAAAGAATTAAGGAGCGGAATGTTTATTTTTTAAATTAATGAATTTTCATATAATTATATTCAAAACTTGAAAATGTTTGAGTATTTTACCCAAAACATTAATTTCCCTTCATCTCACTAACTAAGAGAGTTGAGATATACTTTACACTCAATATCTTTACATATTGTCGTAGACGGATTAATTAAAACAGGAACCTTACGTAATAAGTAATTGTTAAGATAATTATTCAAATTATTTGATTAATTGATTTGTCATTGGTAAAAAGAAGAACGTTATTTATTAGAGAAAGATAGCATTGAGTTAAGGTTGAAGAGAATTTTGGATGGACAAAAGTGCAAGAAATTAATAATGAGGATAAACCAGTTTGAGAAGTAATGATTATCTAGACAAAGTTTCATCAACCAATTAAAGAAAAAGACAAGAACAGTAGCAACTGGAAAGAAATCATATATAAAATTTATAAATGCCAATCATTATCAGGCTGGCAAGGTTGCCATTACTGTCGGTCTCGTTTTGAGCTTCTCAGGGAAATTCATGGCATCTTAGGAGAAAATAGAAAGGAGAAGAGAAAGAGAAAAAAATAAAAGATAACCATGCGATGATACAAGAACAAGAACAGTACTTTTAACCCACAAATGATCTAATAATCCCCAAGATGAAGAAAAACGACGAAAAAATTTTTTTACCATCTTTTTTTGTTTGTTTTTTGTGAAGAACAACAGAACCCTAATCTCGTTTCTCCTGACTAGGTGAACTAAGTGGAAAAAGTGTCAAGAGCTCCGGTGGGTTGCTTCCTCTAGGGGTATTTAACGGTGATGGGTGCAAGAAAAAGCCCTTCCCGGCAATCGCCTTTTCCTCCTCAGAAACCACTGGAGATGATGGTGACAGGGTTCTGGGACTCGAGTAGAACAGTGATTCAGACCCCAGAGGAGTCACAGGACTGGGAACAGGAGACTCGACCCTGCGAGCTTGGCCTGGAGAAGAGCAGTGCTGATTCTGGCTGTTAGGTGAATTGCGTAGTGTGGTGAGACCAAGCTTGATCTCGAGCTTTCTCATGGTGTGTTGCCTGCGTTCTTGGAGCTTGAAAGGCGGTCGACGGCGTGGCCCTGTCGGGTCACCACCACCAACAGGTAAGGAAGGCTTCGAGCAGACCCTTCCAGGGATTGTAACAGGGAGTTTCTCCACGTCGCTGGCGACTCCCGTAAGCCTTTGGACCAGGTCTCTGAAGGTGTTTGCGTCTGCTTGAACAAAAGTCGTCGGCGTTGGCGCCGTCACAGGTGATGATGAAGCTATGGCGTTCAGGTGGTTTTCCATTTGAAGCAGTTGGCGAGAACAGGAACTAAAAGGGAACTGGCTTAAGACAACAAAGTAAATTTCTTGTTGATTGTTTTATATATAGAGAGGAAGAGACAGAGAATGTTTGATGGAATGTTTGTGTATGGGCATACGTATAGCTAAAACCCGGGCATGGCTTCCCCTTTCTTTCCACCAAGCAAATTTATTTTATGAAGAAAAATTGTAACCCAAATCTCAAAGTTATACTACTTTTAATTAGGATCTTGACAGCTACTTCAGATTATTGTTAATAAATATATCTGATATAATTAAAAGTTAAGAGTACTACATAGAATAATAATAATAATAATGTCTTGATTGCCAATCTCTTTCATACTTGGTGGTATTGTAATGCAGAACTATTTATGGGTTTAAATATATATATGTATATATCCCATTCATCACTGTATATCATTAGCAGGTCGTCAAATATTCTCACATGTCATTAATACACTGACAGTATATATCAAACATAAACTTAAAATTACTATGGTGAAATAAGAATATATGGAATGTTGCAAGGAAATCACAGACATATGATGATTGTTAAGAGTGTCTGAATACCTAGATGGATCTTGAATGATTTCTATTGTTTGCATTCTTTCTCTTTTAATGAAATTATTCCATATTATTTATAGGACAAAAAAAACCCATATTAAAATTTGGATTTCACTATCAAACTGATGATTACAAGGAGATTAAATGAACATATACGACAATGATTTGGAACAGTTGAAAGTTGCTTTGTTTTTGTTTTGTTAAAATTGGGTACGGAAGGGTAAGTGGTTGCTGTCAAGTTGGCTTAATTAGGTTAACACCTCTTGTCCCTTCCCTACATATTATCAGTAAAAACCCTATGCCCAACAACGATATCCTGTAATCCATTTGTTAAGGGCAGGGAGAATCTGGCTATCTTATCAGGAAGAAGCTTTGGAAGAATAGGAACAGGTACTGCTTGTTTGCCAGATAAAGAAGTTAAGAGAGGATTAGACCCCATAAAAACTGCAGCTTACCTGATGATCAGGTAGAGTGTATAGAGACAACTCTATACACATGATTTCTCCACTCACTAGTTTTTGATTTTTGGTTGGATTTGAATATGACTAACCAAAGGTAAGCATGATAAGTACCATTTGATCTAATAGAGGTAATCAAATTAAGCCAAAAGAATTTCATTAACATCTCAAGTATTATTATTATTATTATTATTATACTTTTTTACATTAATTCGGAGGTGAGTACGATTAAATCAATTACTTCGATTTGTTTCGATTATGAAGGTTTTGTTTTAATTAACCGAATTAATCGATTTAGAATTATTGCCATATAGGTAAAGATTGCTCATGTTTGTGTCATTTTTTTTTTTGTGGTAATATTATTAATTTTACAATGTTGTTAAAATTTTATAATTTGAGAAAATGAAACTAAAAAAGTTGGACTTCAATGACTTAAGGATTCATGAATTCAAAAATTTAAGCTAAATTGATACTTGAATTTGGACCGATTCGATTAATATTTTTAACCGAATTAATCAAATTACCTTATACAAATATTTCTCTTAGCAGATCCATTATGGCCTGGCGAGATGGGCAGCTTGGTGGGCTTCTCTTTGGGCCTAGGTTATACCTGATATTGTTTTTCGCTGCTCAAAAAGGCCCCAAGTAGCATTGATTCATCGTACCTCAAAAAAACAAATAAAATAAAACCAGACAGGTCTATTAATATATATAATAAATATATATTGTGGGAGGAGGTTGTTGGTATCTTTATTTTTAATATAAAAATAAAGTTTGAATATTCTCTTAAAATTTATAAATATGTTAAAAGAATTGAGTGTAAAAATTGTCATGGCACAAAGAAGAAAATGCCAATAAACTATTCAATTTAAAGAAAAGTCTATCAAAACAAGTCCTGTTTGAATCATGCTATATGTTTAGATTGAATTTGTTGTCTTCCTTTTCAGACATAGGAAAAAGGAAAATCATGCTTTCCTTTCTGTTTTGTTACAAATTTTAGGTTAGTAAAAGATGCCATGAGTTCATAAAGAAAAGATTTTATTTTATTTATAGTAAACATATTTTTTAAATTAAAAGCAGTGAATTTGTTATAAATAGTATTAAAATTTATTTAATTTTTTATTAATGTGAAAATCAGTGACATTTTGAACCAACCAACGGTTGCAAAAATCAAGTTTTGATTTTTCTTCTTGGTTTATGCCTGCACGGTCCAAACAAGACGTGGGGCCCTTGCTTCCTCCATTGATATAGTTAGCCAACAGCTCGTAGCTCGCAGATTCTCTTTGCATTCTTCCTTTCTTTCTCTTTGAAAACGAGGGGAACTTTCGTTGGGTTTGCGCCACAAGAAAGAAAACCCATCCCCAGAAACCCAAATTCCCCACCTTTTCCTTTCTCTTTTATAAACAAAAAGCTAACGTCTTTGCAGAAGAAAATAGTAGTAACAGAGGGGTGGAAATGAAGAGTTGTGCGAGTTGTTACAGACCGGTGATCGTGGGCAAGTCGATTGACAAGAAAGACGTGAGCTTTGCATCAACAAATAGAGTGGCGTTCGGTGATGGGGTTGTACCCCAAGGTTCAACGACGACTGCAAGGTCCAAAGGTTTAAGGGGTTTGTCTGTGAGTGCTTCTGCTGTTGATTCTTATGAGAGCTCTTCTGATTTCGTTAAGCGTATGGAAAAAGCTTGGGTCATCTCTCAGGTACAATTTTCATTTAATGTTATTGTTTGTGACCTGGAATTTCAAATCTTATTAGTTTTGGGTGCCCCAATTCAATTCTATCAATGATTCAGCTCCCATGATGGTAGAATTTCAAATTTGTTGCAAATTTGTGCATTAAAACGCATTTCTCGAACTAAAAGGGATTCAATTGGATTGGATTTATGTAGAATGGTTTATTTATTTATTTTTTAATTTTGCAATACGTGATATTGGGTGGTTGATGTTGAATGCAACTTAGATATTTAAATCCTGGAGAATTTCGGTATGTAAATTGGAAACGAATTTATCTATATCAATGGCTTTTCTTATTGAATTAAGTCTCTGGTTGAGTAAATTGGGGAGTGGATATATTTCTTTACTAATTTTGTATATATTTAAGTACTTGGTTGTATCATTTCCCTGGTAATTGCCAACTCCATTGTAGTTTCATTCATTCCAGGTTTGATACTTCATTCGGTTGATGTGAAAAATTATATAACATAGCATATAAATGTATGGCAAGAATGTTCAATCTGCCATTGCTCCATTCAGTTTCCGCTGTTTCTAGTGTCATTCCATAGAGAAATGCTCTAGGAAAGAGGTTCTAAGATAATATTGATGCCATTGAAATGCATCTGAGATGGGATTTTGAGATTACATCCTGCTTTAGCCGGGGGGAAAAATGGATAGTTGTTCATGCTCAACCAAAGGGACTGTATTCCTTTCTTGTAAGACACTTTTGGGAACTTGTTGAGTCCTTGAGCTAATTAAAGGCTAAAAGCCGAACTTTCTACACTTTTTGGGTCCTAATCTTTTCGTCCTTCATGAATTTACAGCAACCAAGGCCAGTTGCTTGTTCTTCATGCAACGCCAAGGGCCACGTTGAATGCAAGTGGTGTGGGGGTACAGGCTTCTTTATCCTTGGGGATAATATGCTCTGCCAAGTTCCTTCTAGAAATACCAGTTGTGTAATTTGTGCTGGGAAGGTACATATTAAAACTATAGGCATCTCAATATCACATACATATGCGTATCCTTTAGCAAGCTAGAGCGCTTGCTGTACAGCCAACCACCCAACTTGCTTAAGCATTCTTCCTTTCATGGTTATTGTAGGGATCAAAGTGCTGCTCTGACTGCAAAGGAACTGGATTTCGTGCCAAGTGGTTGGGTGAACCTCCAATTTCCAAATAGTGGATAGTTTCTCAGTTGTTGCCTGTTGCCAAGTTAAAATGTTGAACACTGCAAAACCACCATAAAATTTATTTGCTATGTCCAGTATGAATACAGCATAGCTTCTTTGACTCCAAAATATAAATCACACCATGTATTTTTTTTGTTCATGTACTTGTACAACCTTGTCTCCTTACAAAAGAGAGAAAGAAACAACAGTTGTTACTTATTGATTGAAATTGTCAGAATGTAGAATAATTCATTGTTTATCTAGAAGAAAGTCTTACTTTTTTATACATAGCGAGGTGAAATCACTTTTCAAAATTGTGCAGTGGTGAATTATGCAGAGCACTAAAGTACAATTTCTTCAAATTAGACTGATCAATGCCTGAAATGGTCTTGCAAATTGGAATTGCTATTTTCTTTTACATGCAGAATATCCTTGCTATGTACAAATATGTACTTCTCTTGTAATTAACTTATGGGAAGGCAAATGCCTTGCTCATTCTGTATGTTTGTTTTCTTTACTGTACAAAAACAGAGATTTTTTTATTTTTGTAAGAAATGGGAACCCTGCCCATGCTTTGTGTTCATGAATTAGCTTGCATAAACCATTCTTACTTCCCAAATAGTGCAATCTTGCTTTCTGTTAAGGAAGGAATCTATTTTTGGAAAATGAGAATTTTATTTGCATATTTAAACAAAAAGGAAATTTGAAGAGCATGGTTCCAATAGCAAGACCTAAGAAGAGAATGATTGCGATATTGGAGAAGAAGAATGATCTAATTCTGAAAAAATTAGAGCCAATGAAAGAATATGACACATTCACATTACAAAAACATGAATATACAAGACTTAATGTTAGTTCACAGGTGAATCAAGTCAGTAAACAACACCTAATAAGCACAAAGTTCTCGGTAAAACCAGAATGTTCAACTTATTGTGGATTTCTTTACTCATCATCCCTGGAGTCCCTGGTGAAAGTTGTTCAGTTGCTTTGAACAATAGCTGAGAACAGTAATTTGTTAACATCCTCGGACTTTGACTCTTGTGTCTCGTCTCCTACATCAGTGTTACAAAATTGTCAAGAAAGGAAAACATTAATGCAAACCAATACCTTCAGACAAGATTGTATCTCAAAATTATTCCCACATAGGGTTGGGTTTAGGAACCTTAACCGTAATACCCTCACTCCTAAGGTAACAGGAAAGAGAACTTTGGCCTTCTGTCCCTCTCTGAAACTACTGTAATAAGTACTCAAAGAAGCTCAAGGAACTCCATCAATAATATCCCCTTAAGACCCAACATTTTATAGATTTCATGGTGAATTAGCTCCCCGAAAGAGACAATAGAATACGCTAGTAAGTACGGGCAAAATGTCAATCTGTACCATCTGAATGTCAAATTTTATATGGAACAAAAATGAAGTCCTAATTCCCAACGTCTTTTTCTGGGTGTCCACTTAGAGCAACTTCAGGCTACCAACATAGTGACCCAATCATGAATGCTCGCCTTTCCAAATCTGAAATGCTACATCCCCACCATAATCTCTTTTTTTCTAATGAAAATATTGAGCAAAGCAACAAATGTACCTATTCTTGATCGAACTTGAACTGTCCACTCCTCAATGATCTGCATGAGGCGAAACATCAAAGTGGTGAGAAAACTTTCTTCTAAATCAGTTATGTGTGAGTCTATGTGAAATGCCAGAAAGAAAGTGCATAACATTATGACAAAATTAAGTTTCTGTAGGCTTTATCAAGACAACGTGAACTACCCACGAAACGTCTTAGCATGGGTGTTATCTTAAGCAGAGCTCGCCATTGATTTGATCTTGGTTGCTTGCTGGCAAGTGGTGCACCACTTTAAACACCACTTGGAAAATAGGCAACCTTAACATGTGGTGCATTAAACATTAGCAGTATTGAACAATATCATCACCAGTAACCATCATGCTTTCCCATATCACAACCACATGCTTCCACTGATTACAACAGGAACAATGTCTAAACAGACGCAGCTTGGAATTGAGGAAATGAAAGGAGGGAAACCTGGTTGAAGTTGGCAAATGCTGGATCATCAGAATCACTGGTGATGGGAATGCCCATTGGTGCTTGCATATGCTGGAGTAAATATCTGTTCCCAACAAGTGTTGTCCTAGCCTTATCAATCAAATCCTGAAAAATGAAATGAATAAACCAAGGGTCAACTCCATATACCAATATGTCTCTCAACTTCAAAAAATTTAAACTTTAAATACAAAACCCTTCTGAAAATTCTCTAGATTTAAAGAAAAACCTGTTTGGCCGATAAAAGCTCACGGCACTGCTCTGTCAAGCTCGATAATTCTTCCTGTATCTTCTTTATTCTTGACACCAACTTCATAGGATTCGCCTGCAATCAGCACTCCATGAGTACCTCAATTGAGTTGAAAAAACTTTTCCCATAATGCAAATTTAGAAATCTAAAATGGGAATTTTAGAATTTTGGCTTACATTATCAGGATAAATTTGTTGAAACTCCTTCTCGAGCCTGTAATGAACCACGAGCAGATCATGGTTTGCTTTGCTGAACAAATTCACCAAATTATCCGCCGCTTGATGATGGCTTTGTTCCTGATGATTCCGATGACCCATCCTTCCTCTCTCTTCCGCAATCACACCCCAACTAGGGTTTTCTTCTTTTGAATTTCAGAAATTTGCCGCCTGCTAATAAAGCTAGGGCATCTTTATTTTTATATTCACGCGCCTCTTCAGAGCGTGGAATTTTTAGGCTTCTTTCTTTCCCATAATTTCACTTCACCACCTGTTTTTTAACATATTTGCGGATATCGACCTCAAAGACTCTTCTTTTTCTTGTCGCTTGATTGATCGAATTCCGACGCTGGAGAAAGAACAAAAATGGCGGACGAGGAAGAGACAGTTCTAGAGAACCAGCTAGAGCTTCAGTTGAAAGAGCAAAGAGACTCACTTTCTGCCTTAAACGATGCTCTCGCTTCTGACCCCTCCGATCCCGAGCTTCTCGCCGTATTCATCTCCTTCCATCCCTGTGTTCTCCTCTCATGTATCTTCGATTCTCGCGATATATAATTTGTATTTTCTTTTGAATTCGTTTGTTTTTTGATTGGTTTAGGTTCACGAGGAGCTTGTTGTGGCAATCAAAGAGGCGGAGGAGGGGCTTCTGAATCTCAAGCGTGCACGTTTACTTCGAGAAGCTGATTCAGCGTTTAATGTTTCAAAGCAAGCCGTCGAAGAGGTTAAGGTGGAGGCTCTTGAGCCGAGTGATGTAGAAGTGGAACCACTGGAGGAGGAGGAGGAACAAAATTACAGGGCCGGGTCGAAATGCCGATTTCGTTACAATGACGGGCGGTGGTATGACGGTCAAGTTATTGCATTGAACGGTTCTGATTCTGCAAAGATTTCTTTCCTCACACCCACTTCAGAAAATATGTTGGTATGTACATGCTTGAGTTCCTATCTGGTACCTTGTCTTTTGGCTGTAGGAAAGTTAATACATGGAATTGAAAATGTAAAATCTTCCATTGTAATGCTTTTGAAAACTTGAGAAAGTTATGAACTTTTCTGAAAAGGGAAACATAAAATGATGCAATAAGGTTGTGAGGGTTGGAATTTGTTATTCCATCCTGGGCATTGGAGTTCCCTTGGTGAAGCAAGCGTTTCAGTAGAAAAGTGCTGAAGAGAAATTTAATGGTATTAAAAAACTTTTAGAATGAGTTTTCCTTCTTTGTTGATCGATTGGTTTGAATTTCATAATGTGGCCTTGGGAATACAGTAAAGTACAAGTCCTCTCGTGCAACCATGAAAAGTTAAAAGGAAAAACTTCTACTTGGTTTTTCATGTCACGCACTTGCAAATATAGGATATCTTTTAGTCTAGCTGATATAGCTGATAAGCAATAACTGCATACACGTATTATTTGAGTGAGGTAGTCGGTGATGGCTGTCTTGTGATTTCTATGGGAGTTTTTCTACTCTCTCATGTTGCTTTTTTGTTGCAGTTGTCTGTAAATTGGAGGTAATTTGTGAAGGAATGAAGAACTGTGCTCTTTTGCTAACTAAGCAACGTTTACCTTTCCAGTGCTGAAAATGATGCTAATATATCTTATAAAGTAAAATCCACTTGTTTTTTGTCCAGTTACTAATACTAGACCACCCGAGTGCAGATATGCAAGTTCTTTCTGCAACAACGGTGTCGATTTGGTGCTAATTGCCGCTTATCGCATGGTATGTTGCAGTCTTCTGTTGTGTGGACAATATCCACCTTATATTATGGAAAGCATCATAAAGACAAAAAGAATTGTTGTTTTACATAAACCCTGTTCATTCTTGATGGAGAGCTAAGACTTCTGTTCTGTATGAAGGACATGTAAAATGACAGATAATCCTAGATGTACATTCGACTCTTTCAATTCAGCCATAGGCTTTTTGTGTCTGGCTCTTATTTGAGGATAAGAATTAAACGACAGATCAGTGCTGCTATGGTGTATGCTCCAAAGGCTATGTTTAGTATATTATAACTCCAGTACGTTTTAAAATTAGTTTTAGCATGGAGCCATGGACTATTTGCCCTAGCCTTTTACATGGTATTTTCACCCTCATTTCTTATTAGAGCATCTGGGACACCAGCTTCATTTTTTCACTTTTTCTTTTCTTGCAGTTGCTTCTAATACTTCAGAGTTAACATATTTATACTTTCACAGGAGTTGATGTCCCATTATCTTTGCTTAGGAAGTATGCCCCAACCATGTGGGAGCTGTCGATGGTTGGGTCAAGTATTTGGGCAGTCTCTGATAGTAAAGTTGGCATCTGGAGGGAAGCTGAACTTGAATCATGGAATGATCAACTCAGAATGGGGAAGGTTGTTTTCCGGGATAATGGAAGCTCTGCAGAGCTTGGGATAGAAGCTCTGACGTTGTCTGAGTTTGCACAAATGACTGATGAAGAAGAAAGTGAACTAAGCTCTGAAGAATCTGATTCTAGTGACTATGACGAGGAGAGCGCGGGGGGTTTAGGTTTTCTTGAAAGCACTGCTCTACAGAGAGGTATCCAGACAGAAACTGCCGTCTTTGCTAAGTGGGAAAATCATACCAGGGGTGTAGCTTCGAAGATGATGGCCAATATGGGTTATCGTGAGGGGATGGGTTTAGGTGCATCTGGCCAGGGAATGTTGGACCCAATCTCTGTTAAAGTCCTTCCTGCTAAGCTATCTCTTGATCATGCACTGGAGTCTCGTGAAAGTGATGAGAGTAAAGAGAAAAGAGGGAAGAAAAGAAGCAGGGGTGGCAAGAGAAAGCGTGAGAAGAAGTTTGCCGAAGCAGCTCGAGCTGCAAAAGATGAAGAGGAATCGAGACCAGATGTTTTTAGTCTCATCAATAACCAACTTGCAATGCATAACGACGTGGTAAATGCTGCGTCAACAAAGAAGCAGCAAAATAAAACCTCCAGAGAGGAGAAGAAAGTAGATAGGAAGGCATTGGTTGCTTACGATGATGAGGTGAGGGAACTAAGGTTGCGCATTGCGAAGCTTGAGGAAATGGTGAGCAGGAACAGAAAGGAAAAAGCTGTTTACGAGGCTGCCGTGAGGAAGTTAAATGAGACTCGCAACGCACTTGCAGAGGCTGAAATAGTTCATGCATCCGCGTCAAATGCAGTTGTTAGCAAAGAAAAAGAGAAGAAGTGGCTGAAGTTTTGATTCGTAATATCCTTACATTGTTATGTACTTACAACTATCCATGGTTTGGTGATAGATTTTACAAAAAAAAAAAAAAACCTTTGTTTCTCCTTTCCAGTTTGCATGAATCATTTGTGTAGTATTAGGAGATTAGGGTACCAGTTCCTCCATAGAATAATCTTCTTTTAACAAAAAAAAATAAATAAATTCTTGTATATAGATGCTCTTCCAGTCTTCAAGTGATATGTAATATATATATATATATATATATATATATATTTGAATAAAAATATATTTTTTCTAAAATATAAAAAGTTGTATCAAAACTCATAAAAACTAACTAATTAATTATATTTTTTAAAAATATATTTTTTGAAGAGTAAAGTGATTATTTAATTATTTAAATTTTAAAAAATAATAAAAAATAAAAATATAACTACTTCTATTACATACTTAAAAAGAAAGCTAAGAAGAATTTTCTCATTTATCCACTTGTTAACTATATTACTATGCATGTTTTGAATCTCCCAACCCATGAGTCAGAGAAACTTTACAAGAGAGTTAGTCGTCATGTTTGTTCATGAGTCAAATTAAAAAATCTTTTGCTCATTAGTCAGTCAAGATACATTTTTAAATTAAAAGTTTTAGACGTTTGTTAATCATGTCTAGACTTTAACAAAAGGGTTGGAAATTTCTGGTTTTGCTCAAAGTATAGCAAATTCTATTAAATGTAAGCTTTCGATTATCAATAAAAAAATATCATAATTGCCAGATAATTATGTGAGAAAATTCATGCAATGAAAATTATTTTTGGAAATGATAGAATTTAAAATTGATAAGTTTATCACACTGTCTATTAATACTTAAAAAAATTATAAAATATAAAAGTTTTTTGATAAATGATAAAAATAATAATTAATGGAATAAAGTTAATAATGACCTACCAAAATTATTGGGGGATCTTAAAATAATTTTCAGGAAGTGGGTTAATTCTAATAATTATAAAAGCGTAAGATAAAAAAGTAATAATTAAAATTAAAGATAATTTAGATAATTTCATCATTAAAATTAAAATTTTTTTAATAAATGTAATTAATATTCGTTTTAGTTTAGCTTTCAAAAGGTATTCATTTTATTTTAATAAATTTATTATATAAATTATGTAGTTTATCAATAATTACTTTTAATATATTACATTTTCTCAATATGAATTTTATTTCGCTATTAGGATCATGTAATTAATAAAATATTATTACGTCAACATTAGCCTATATTAAAACATAAAAAATCAAATGTGTTTAAAAAAATTTATTTAAATAAAAATTTTTATTTAGTAAGACATGAGAAGATATTTAAAAAATATTAATTTTTTAAAATCATTACTTTTAATTTATTATTATTGTAATATTTTTAAATTTAAAATTATTTATTATTATTATTATTATTCATAATATTATTGAATTTAACATTGTTGTTAATAAAAACTTTAACAGGCACCACTCTAGTTGTTTTTAATTTAAAGCAATTTTAATGTTTTGATGAATTTAAAAATAAATTATAAAAAATATTTTTTATACATTTAGCAATAATTATAAATACAAAAATAATTTTAAGCCTTCCTCTCCAAGTAATTTCTCCTTCTGCTGTTAATTAGTACTCATTTGTATTCATTTCTTTGTTGGGTTCTTCTTCTCCAAGACTCTGAATCTTTCTTTCACTCTCCCAAAAGGTCTTCCACTTTTTGTTGTTTTCTTTTTCCTTTTGAATGGGCGAAGCAGTAGTGACCCCAAACAACGATATGCCAACTCTTCCAAGAACTCCGCCGCCAACGATCGGTTCGTCGTTGATTCCGGTGATCAACAAGCTTCAAGACATTCTTGCTTCTTCTGGTGCCGAACTGTCTGATATTTCGGTACCGCAGGTGGCGGTGGTTGGCAGCCAGAGCAGCGGTAAATCGAGCGTGCTCGAGGCGCTAGTTGGCCGTGATTTTCTGCCTCGGGGCTGCAATATTTGTACTCGAAGACCACTGGTTTTGATGTTAGAGAACCATCCTCCAAATTCAGGTGACGAGAGCAGTGAATGGGGTGAGTTTCGCCACTTACCCGGCAGCCGCTTTTATGATTTCTCCAAAATTCGTCGAGAAATCCAGGTTCCGTTTACTTTTATCTTTCAAGTTCTGTGGATTATTCTTGAGTTGATATATAGATAATTTTTATTGAAATTTCACTATATTGTCAAATAAGGAAATGGTTACTGTCTTGTGTAGGCTGAGACGGAAAGAGAAGCTGGTAGTAACCAAGGGGTTTCAGAAAGTCATATTCGATTAAAGATTTGCTCCCCGAATGTCCTTAACATGACACTTATTGACTTACCTGGCATTACCAAGGTTCCTGTGGGAGATCAACCTAGTGATATAGAAGCAAGAATTAGAAATATGATTATGGCATACATCACCAATGAAAATTGTATCATATTGGCTGTTAGTCCGGCAAATTCTGATTTAGCTACATCTGATGCGCTACAGATAGCTAAATTAGCTGATCCAACTGGTAAGTTGCGACATCTGTGGTTTTACGTTTGTGTATGTATGAGTTCTTTGCTTTGATACCTATTGCAATGGACTGACATATACGTTTTCAGGTTCTCGGACAGTTGGTGTAATCACCAAGGTTTGTGTTATTCCTCTTTTACAAGGAAAATTTAATGAGTGATTTAATCTTTCTCATCCCTTGTTATTGTTGTCATCCTCACTGAATGACTATGTATTTGTTGCAATCTTTCTGTGCAGCTTGATATAATGGACAGGGGTACCAACGCCTGTAACTTTTTGCTTGGTAGAGTGGTTCCACTTAAACTTGGTTATGTTGGTGTTGTAAATCGCTGCCAGGAGGTATTTGTTATTAAAGGCTGCAGTTGGCAGCTTCAGAATGGTTTATCTGCAATTCTGCTATGTCATTGGATAACTATACTATGTGTGTGTATGTGTGCCCATGTGTTTGTTTCTGTTTCATAGTACTTTTTGTGGATTCTTTCCTTTATATTTACTTTAGAATTAGCTACTTGGCAGCAACCAGTTTTTGGTGATTAGGACTAACAATATACTTCCAAAATGAGTATGACCTAGGTAAGGATGTTGATATATGGCAATGCAAGGGAAGACGGAGTGCTTTTAAATTAATTATTATCACTGTTTTTTTTGGGTTTCCTATACAGATTCATTGAATAAGTGAGGTGAAGGTGATATTTGTTTTTGTTGTCTGTTACAGGATATTAATAAAAACCGTAGCATTCGAGAAGCACTTGCATATGAGGAACGCTTCTTCCATGATCATCCTGTATTTTTCATCTCTCAAATAGAATTTTGACTTCAAGGTCACCTACATCGCAGATAATCTAAACATTTTGCTCTTGCTTGAAACATATGTGTTGAAGGTGTATAATGGTGTTTCTGATCGTTGTGGCATTCCTCAATTGGCGAACAGGCTGAATCAGGTTGGTTTATGACTGCATTCATTGACCCCTAATTCTTTTGACAATCATATATTTTAGTTTTATTTTGCACTTCTTATATTTGTCTCTATGTGATGAATTTGTCTCTTTCCAGATCCTAGAGCAGCATATCAGAAGGGATCTCCCACATTTGAAGGCTGAGCTAAACTCTCATATGCGTGCAGTTATGAAAGAGCTGCAGATGTATGGAAAAGTTGTAGAATCAAAGGTACGTTGTCATTGTGTTGCAATCTCTTCTATTCGACAATGTTAAGTGGTGCTATCTTAGATTGTTTGAGGATGGTGTAGTGGCTTTATTTTCTGGTTGACCTCTCCATGTATTACCGTTTGATTTTAGGCTGGATGCTTAATAGACTGTAAAATGTATTCAAGAAGTTGCATAAGGCCTAAGTTATCACTGGGGAGTTAAACATTATCACATTTCTTGTTTTCCTTGTATGACAGTAAACTAATATTTTATTGGTGCTGATTGTTGAGGTCTAAGCAATAGTCCTTACTATTTGGTGATGGCTGCTTCTTGTTTTGAATATTCTTAACCATATACCCTCATATTCATGAATTTGCTATAGTAAATCTGAGCATGTTTCTTAGACAAATTGGATTTTTTTTCTTGGGATTGTTAGCTTCATTAAAATTATTCTTTCTAATTATTCTCATATCCATATCCAGTCAGAACAAGGAGCAATTTTATTGGACATTCTTAGAAGATACTGTGATGGTGAGGTTTTGATTTTCCTTATTATAAGTTCTATTTTTGGCGTATCATATATGTGTGTATTCTATTCCATTCTTGATTCAACTTTTTAGTCTAAAATATAGGACTTTTGTAATTGATTCATGGAATTGGAAGTGGTCACTTCTTCTTTTGGTAAAGAATGGGGAGGG